GTTTACTATGTTATATGGTTTATTCAGTTCTTAGATACTGATTTTTCCATATAAAAATGAGTTGCAGGACTTTTTAATTGAAGTGATGATAGCATTACCCAGATTTATATGAAGAGTATTTATTGCTATGTTTTTATGTATAGTTTTTTTTCTTCATGGATTTAAGTTGCATGAAGAGAGAGATCCTGTTTGTCTTGCATGGAATTTCAGTCCCAATGCAGGTTTCCATATTTATTGGCTCAGTAAATGAATGAACAGATAAACAGGTCTGTCCACAAATAAGCTTTTTAGGTTTGTAAATTCAAACCATGTCAGTACATATTTGCTGTCTGTAATATTATTTGGGCATAACTGGAATTTGTTGACTTCAGAAAGGAGGACAGTAAAGAAGGAAAGGGAAGGAAGAGGGAAGTGGAGAAGAGCCCTGCCTTTGAATTATAGTGTCTCCATGTATCAGCTATGTGGTCCCACAGATAAGAGAATGAGATGAAATGGCTAGTTCCTAATACAGATTGTCCCTGACTTATTTTTCAGCTTTATGATGGGGCGGGAGACACATTTAGGAGAAGCTGTATGTTGAGTTTTGATTTTCTTACAGTGTTTGGTGATACTGGACAGTAGCTGTCAGTTAGCTATAGGACCAGAGGGGAAACCAATGGTCATTCATTCTACAATATACTGTGTTGCTAAGATACAATGTTTGATATTTTTAGTACATTAAATGTACTTTGCTACATATTTTTCAGTTATGATGGTTTTATCAGGGCATACCACCAGAACTCAAGAAGTATCTTTAAAGATCTGATGATCCTTACTCTTAACTAGGATGTGGTAGTACTGTTTGTCGGTAACTGAGATCATAAATTATATTGTGTTATCTATCTGTTACATAGGAAATATATCATCTTACCAAAATAAAATGTTAACACAATTATTACAAAAACCATTTAGATAGAGAAAACCATAAAAACAGTTATATGCCAAAGTCTTTAAGTAAGATAAGTTTAATTCATTTAGAGTACATTCTCTAAATTTTTTAATAAGAAATCACATCTCAATAATTGCTGAAATTATTTGTTTTCCTGAAAAAAATGAAAGCAATTCTATATAGCTATAAAATTGCAAAAGCAATATCTGGTCTGCAGAGATTCAGTTTGTATTGTAGTTCTGAAGTGAAAACTTGGTATGTTAACAAATAACACTGTGGATCATAGAGAATTAGTGAATTTATATATATATATAATGTAGGGGAAAGGAAGTTAACAAGGTCTTTTTTAATAGCATTCTTTAAGTAGAGATCTATCCCTAGAGAGTAAGTATAAAGTCCAGTGTCCTTCCAGTTAGTGAAATTTACTTACTCATCAGCTATAATCTACATTTGAATATCAAAGTCAGGTTGAGTTTCGTGAGGTCTAGATGTATTCAGTATTGAGCAATACATTGGGTACCTTAAGAAGGCATAGACAGCCTAATGGAAGACACCTTTGCTCCATGTTGGAGTTCCTGCATTTCTCTTCCTAACTCTGGCTCCTGACTCCAGCTTCCTTTCAGTACAGTCTTAGCGATAGCTTGAGTAATTAAGGTCCCAGCCCCTCCCCAAATGGGAGATCTGTATTGCTTTCCTGGCTCCCCAGCTTTGGCTTAAGCCCAGACCCTGCCATGTCTATCATGGAAGTAGTAAAGCAGTAGATGAGAATTTGCTCTGTGTGTGTATGTTGTGTCTGCCTCTCAAATTAACATGGCTGTTGACAACATGTAAGTGTGCTTAAATAGGAAGGCAAAATTATTACAGTTGTGATTTAAATAAGGAGAGGTTTTTGTGGGTTTTTCTTTTGTCATCTTAGGATGTAAATATTCCTTTTGTGTTTTCTTCATTGAGTTTTATTCTTAGGGTTGGTTAGGGATAGTGTTAACCTCGAGTGTTTTTTTCTAAATGGAAAAACCCAAGAAACTAATGGCAACAGTGAAGAATTTTAATGTAATGTTGCAGTAGGGAGAATAAATTTTTGCAAATTAGTCAAATCACAGTTATAAATCAGGAAGCATTTTAATAGCCATTGCTAAAACTCCAAATTATACCTTGGATAAATATGAAATATGCTAGCACCTAGAAATACATTTTATCTTTTCTACACTATCCAACCTTTGTTCTAAAGCTATTTTTCTGAAATATAGAGTGTTTAATGGTGGCTTTGTGATATTTTTATGATTGAAAGAACTCATAGTAAATTTGCATTATTGAGTTAACATGCAATTTATAAACTTTTTAGAGCATCTGTGTTTAAAAATAAATGCAAAATAAAACTGTTTTAGAAAGAAATGTATAAAATTTCCCCTTCATTCTTAGTTTCAAAAAAATAACCTATATCAGAGGATCTTATACAATAACATAATTTTTAAAGGATAACAAAATATAACAGCTTTTACCATTAAAACTTCAGAATCTACTTCCCTTAGCCCAAATAAAATAATGTCTAACCTCAGAATTACAAATTGCTTGATTTTAAATAAAACACTTGTAAAAATCAGAATATTAAATGATCTTTAAAGCTTAAATGTCAAATGTAGATGTCATTTTACAAATAGCAACAATGTAATTTTATAGTAATGTTTATTCACAAAAATGGAGAACTGTAGTGGGTGGTTTTATTACAACTCTTGTTCAGCCACTAAGTGCAACTGTGGTTTCACTGGTGTGGTTCCTTCAAGGTCAGACAGGAAGCATCAATCCTAGGCCCACACACACAAAGCTGCTCACATGCACCTAGTCACTTATTTCAACCTGAAGAGCAGCTGCGTGCCACTTACGTAATTCTCGATTTTGCAGGCAGTAATGAGTGTTAAAGGCACAGATAATTTAAATAGATTTATAAATTTCCCCACCATTCAGGCTGTTGAGAATGTTTATAGTTTCCATGGAAGTAAATGATCTTCATACGCTTTGCCCTAGGCAAAGTACAATCTACTTATGTTTCCAAAGTGCCTACAAATAAAACCTTTAAGGGCTTAGTGTGATGGATCAGGGGCTAGAACCTCACCTTGCAAGCCCCAGGATCCCATGTGGATGCTGGCTTGTGTCCCAGCTATTCCACTTTCCTTCCAGCTCCCTGCTTGTGGTCTGGGAAAGCAGTAGAGGATGACCCAAAGCCATGTAGGAAACCCAGAAGCTTCTGGCTCCTGGCTTTAGAGTGGCTCAGTCTAGTCGTTGCAGCCATTTAGGGAGTAAACCAGCAGATGAAGGATCTTTGCCTCTTTGTAAATCTGCCATTCTAATAAAAGTAAACAAATCTTTATAAAAAAAAAACTTAAAACATAAAACCTTTGAAAGTACCTGTCTATCTAAAAAAATACCCAACTCATAGCAAGAAACATTTGCTCAAAAGCAACTTGCTAGTAGAATGTTTAGAACCATTTATAAACTAATGACCTTGAGAATGGTATCATAAAATGCAAAGGATATTTCTATCATGTAAATATCAGTGTGTGTGTGTGTGTGTGTGTGTGTGTGTTAAAACCAGTTACTTTCTGAAAAGCTGCACTCTTTCTTTCATGTATTCCTTAGTAAGACATGCAGTATACTTTATGGAAATAAATTATTCAAATAACAATCAAATCTTAATGTAATGTCTTATTAGTATATCTTGACACCGATTTCCATCTAAATTTAATTGTTAAGGGAAACTGTTAAAATCAAATTTAATGTAATATCTGCTCCAAAGGAACATTGTAAGTTGCATCATTAGTTTGATAAAATATCTTCCTGAAATCAGATGACAGTTATCTGAAAAATACTCACATAAAACTTCAATGTCCCAGGCTTTTGTATTACAAGCAAATGCTATCCTGCCCTGCCTTGTTTACGTACAAATCAGGAACTAAAAATCATTCACATTGTGGTTCAAGGCACAGAACATATTCTGCATTCATCATCTGAGCGATTGAGACCCAAAATATTTTTTTCATTACAGTATCATTATAAGTTGCATAGGATTGTGTTTGAATAATGATACAATTATAGAAATCATTAGACAATTATGGAAATCATAAACTTCAGTTTTTCAGTAATTTCCATAATTACTTCTAAGTTCTTGAAGCTCTTAATTTTGAAACTTGTACTTAACCAAAAGCCTGAAAGGAAGATAAACTGATAAACCACATTGATGTGAATTATTTGCACTAAGAACTTCACAATTAGCAAACATAGATACTTGTGGAGAATGCACAGTCAGTAGATACCCCGATTCCTAGGATTTAGTCATTCTTTCTGCCTATTGCAGTGTTGCTTATGTTAATTATTTCCTTGGCTCCTCATAATGTTGTATTAAGTTACTGCGTATAAAATATTAACAACAATGTAAGGCCTAAAGTATTCATTCAGAAAATGTTAGAAATCATTAACACCATGTTACTTAAGGTTTTTTCTTTTGATTCAAAACTTACATTAAATAAATGCCCCCATGTAAAAGACTTCTAGCTGGATATTAATCAATTCATATTCTTATGTGTATTTAGCATTCTTTCTGATTCATACCTGTATGCTTGTATCACTTTTATCACAGATATATTTGTATAAACTACAAAATATATATTGGGCATATAAGCATGTGTGCATATTCAGGCAAATAAAAACATGCTTAAGACAAAATACATAATACAATACAAAATAACAGTAAATAGAAAAACTTTATCCTTTCATATATTCTTTGATGATGATAAAGGAACACATTTATCCTTTCAAAGTATCTTAACTTTTAAGTAGTTGGTAGTTGGAGCTGGAATCCTTTGCTTTAATATTTCTTATATTTCCTTTAATATGTATGATCTGTAATTTATTCATGAAATAATCCTGAGAGGAAATACATTCTTCTTTAAAACTTGACATAATGGCAGTTGATGTCCTTTGGAGATTTCTTGCTTTCTGTTCTGACATTTTGTAGTATCAGTGTTATGAGGTAGTCAGTCAGCAGTTTGTCAGAGGATGGAAGTTGAGGCTCATTTTCTTAAGCGTAAGTCATCTTTCCAAGGTAGTTAGCTGGCACATAGCCTTTCTGCCCCTGAGCTTCAGCTAACCACCACTCTTTATTGCCGCTTAGGTCACAAAATCTAAGTATATGAACTCTTTGGTACTCTTGAAGGCTGAGTTCATGATCACTCCGTGCTTGAAAAGCATGAACTGCATAGAAGATCTGTATATAGAAGCAAATGAAATTATTGGCCTTAAAAGAACACTTAATGATTATTAAATATCAGAAGCCCCCAAATAACTACTAGGCCATCTTTCAAGTAAAATCATATGACTGATAATAAAAGGTTGAGCTATGGCATAAGAGTAAACAATTGACTAACAATATTTGTGCCATAGTTTATAAAATACTGAATGTTAGGTATTACTTACCAGAGACCACACAATCCAACTTGCAAAAGAAAAATGTCAGCATAGCAAAAACAAAACAAAAAAACACAAAAACCATGCCATCACCAACAAAAAACCCATACATGGAACATTACTAATTATGAGCTGGATTTTGAAAAAAGTAACCTTTCATAAGTGACCAAGTTGATACAGGGGGTGAATCTGTTGTGCTCAGATATAGACAGGAAACATTTGAAAACAATTTAGGAAAAGGCAGGCGCATTAATTCAAAATTCAGTATTCATGGATAAATGGAGCTATGAGCAGGAAGAAATTACTGAGGAGTGTTATGAATAAGTTAAGCTATTATAGTCTTGTTAACTTTCAATGAAATTCTTATTCTGGTGACTGACATACTGTCTTAGCAGTTAGCACGAGCTGTTCCCTAGGTGAAAGAACCACATTGCTGTGACCTGAAGCTTTGTATCTCCCCAACACATGTGTATTAAAATCCTAGACCCCAAGGGGATAGTACTGAGGTGGGTGATTAGATCATGAGGCTGAAGTCCTCATATGTACGACACCTCCCCATCCCTCCACCCTGTTAAGATCTACTGAGAAGATGCTCAGTCTCTGAGCCAGGAAGTTGACAGAACGCAATATGCTCATGGCCTAATGCCATGATGTTGAACTTCCAAACTTCTCAACCATGACAAATAAATTTTTGGTTGCATTTGTTACAGCAGCCAAAAGGGACTAAAGCACAAATTTTACATAGCAGCTGTTTAAAAGTTTGTTGATTTGAAGGGCATGCATATCACATGAGAAATGAGACTTGTTAAACTTGTTATTTTGAAATTTTAAAATATAAATAGGAAAACAAAAAGGGAAGTGGTATAAGTTTTTCAAAGATATGTTTATTTTTATTGGAAAGGCAGGTTTACAGAGAGAAGTAGAGACAGAAAGAGCATCCATCTGTTGGTTCACTCCCTAAATGGCTGCAAAAGCCAGAGCTGAAGAGATCTGAAGCCAGGAACAAGGAGCCTCCTTTGGGTCTCCCATGCAGGTACAGGGTACCAAGACTTTGGGCCGTTCTCCAGTGCCTTCCCAGACCACAAGCAGGGAGCTGGATGGGAAATGGAACATCTGGAACACAAACCGGTGCCCATATGGGATCCTGGTGCTTGGAAGTAGAGGATTAGCCAAATGAGCCATCACGCTGGGTCTGGTGGTATAAATTCTTAAGCAATAGTGTGACTGAAATAATAATAACCCAGTATAGAGCTCATCCTAAAGTATACCAAGTATGATTTAATCTAAACAGTCCGAGTTGCATCCTGGAGAAGAGACCCACGGCTGGCCATATAGATAACTGGTGCTACTCAAACTCATATTTTCTTATTTAAACCCTGTGTTTTGTCCATTTATCAAAATGTTTTAGGTACCAAACTCTTGTTTTTGCAAGGATGTGCGCAGTGTATTCTTATGGAAAGGACTGGAGTCAAATGTGCCATTGCTGCTGTTTTGTTGTTTATAGAAGGAAAACATGTACATCCATGAGAGCAGAGAGGAGTTCTGTTTCCCAAAAACATTCAGGAATCTGAGTAGGTATAACACATACAATTACAGAAAGTAATCTGTGAGGGACTGCATTAGCAGTTGCTAACTATCTTTTGCAATTTTTATGAAAATATATTATTTTACCAGTGCAGCTACGGATTTTTCAGTATGTTTGACTTCCTGCAACAAAACATTATAAAATATTTGTGGTAGTCTTTCACTTTAGCACAAATTCTCTCAGGGGCAATCTGAAAAGTTTCACCCAGATCTATTTGGTGTGAAATTATGGTACATTTTATAAATATAAACATTAAATATAGATTTTCATAGTATCATAAATCTGAAGTACAGAATTATAAAATACTTACAGTACTTCAAATGAGGTGCCAAACGTATTTCAGATAAACATTTTTTGCTTTTAATATTAAATGGAAGCATGCTTCACATACTCAAAATGGAAGGAAGTCAGATTTTTAAGAGATTGTGGTCTATTTTTCTTTACTCTCATAAAATCTCTTCTTTTAGTCTCGTGTGTGTATGTGTGTATGTGTGTGTTTTAGTCATTTTAGTGTTAGAGTAAAAGTTAAATTTTCAACCTGCAATGGATTTCAGAGCTGAAAGATTTCTTATCACTTTCAATATTTTACTTGTTTTAGGTTACATCTTTCTAACTTAAAATATTAAACTTTGTAACAGACATTCTAATTGTCACTAATTTGAGCCTTGATCATCTGATCCTTTTTTCTTTTTAGTTTGCAGTTACTAAAATGTATTTTATTGGTTGCTTCTTTGTACTTGGAAAAGCTGTGGCTCATTTTATGTACAATATTCTACACACACAATGTAGTTTTCCACATTTACTTTTTTAAAATATCATTGTGTATTATTGACGCATACCCAATTTATAATCCAGTGTTGTTACTACCAAATCTTTCCCTGTTCTACCATTGCAAGTTCAGCATTCCCTTATTCTGAATTGGTGCATTTAATTTTCTTCCCTTAGCAAGCCTTGTTACTTGTCTGCAGTGAATCTCAGTTAATTGATTTTTTCCCACTTTTCCAACAATAACAAAAAATCATAACATATTTTAATTTACCCGTGGAAAAACTAAAAAGTTAAAAAAAGAGAATTTACAATGTTATAAAATGTAGGTTAGAAAGCCAAGCTCTTACAGTACATGAAAACTGTTCATTGTTCTTCCTCACCCTCCAGCACCCAGCGTTGATATCTTTGCTTCAGAATTATACATTTTTTATCACACAAATAGTTTTAACCAAGAAACAATTTTAAATAAAGATAAGCCCCCGCTGCCACTGCTGTCAATATTTGTCCTTTCTTCCTTCTTTGTTTTCTTCCTCCCACTCACCTCTCTGAAGTAAAGGTGGAATTAAAGTATGTTTAATTTTTGTAACCTGTTTTGTACTTTGGAACATCTTTGAGGGCTAGGCATGTACCCTAATGGCTGACAGGTGAGGCCGTCACATCCCACGAGCACCTCACTTTGATACCCAGCTCTCACTTGATGGCAGACTTCTAACACACATCCCGGGAGGCGGTGGTGGTGACTCAAGTACTAAATGAAACACTTAAATGAGCTGTCTGCTCTCTGCTTCAGCTGGCCAAACCTGGCTATTGTAGGCATGCAGAACATGAAGCAGTAACTGGGGGCTCTGACTAACTTGCATTCTCTCTGCCTCTTGAGTAAATATTTTTAAATAATATTTTTTGAAAATCTTTTCATATCTATTTATATAAGGCATCATTATAATGACTACTTAAATACATTTATTAAGTATAGCCTATCAGCTTGTCAAAATGCTTCCTAAATAATAACATACCATTTCACATGACATCACCATCGTAAGTAAACCTATGAAATGTAAAGATCATGGACCAGACCATGATTTAAGATCACCAACAAAACAAATAAGTTCTTGGGAGTCATAAATTGTATTTTCAATGTTATACGGATTGAGGAAAGAAACTGATTTTTAGACATTGAACTGTCTTCTAAAACTAAAGTTTATCATCTGATAAACCTTAAGGTTTAAGGTTTTTCATGTGATCCTTTTTAAGAAGTGCCGAGCACAACGTTCTGCTTGTCAAAAGTATCATTAATACCAAAGTCAGGTCCCCGGGTGGAATATAAGATTCCTGTGGCCTATTGGGCCAGTCCTGTACAACCAGATGCCTTAGATTCTAGGTGATATCAGCTACTGTTATGGGGTTTTATACCTATGATTTGTTTACACTATATGACATGTGAAGAGATCTTTGCAGAGATGGATACCAAAATGCCTAAGCAGGTCCCTCTGTAAAAAGGCTGATTTTCTCTGGTGAATCTGATCTAATCAGATGAGATATTTAAAAGAGCATTCACACCTCCTCTGATGGGAGAAATCTGAAGGCAGAGAGTTGCCTCCATACAGACCTGGAGAAGCAAGTAGCTATGTGGTAAACTGTCTACAGAGAGAGAGGCACATGTTAAGGATCTGAAAGAAATCTCTCTGTATTGAAGGTGGTCCCTGGTTGATTTCCACCAAGAAAACTGAAGTCTCAATTCTGTTATGATGATCAACAATCTTGAGCTTGGGCGTTGGGGGGGAGGGGAGGACCGTGAGAAAATAAAACCTAAGATACAACTAAAAAGTGAGTATATGAAATCTAGAACGAGACATTGAGATATACCAAACTTGGCTTCCTGATCATGGGCAAAATGCTTTGGCCATTAAGCTTGTAATCCTTTGTTATGCAGCTCAGAACACTGTTGAAGACCATGCCATTCTTATCTGATGGACAACATGAGAGAATCCGTTTGAATGGAATTGCATACTCATTTGACTGCCTTTGTTACAATGTTTGAGTAAAGAAGTTGAAAATTAGATCCCGCTACATCCCTTGGTGTAAATTAGTAGTGCTAGACTGAATATGCAGCAGCTCATCTTCATCTTCAGTGGGGTCTCTGGATCACAACTCAGGGAGCTTCTAAAGCATGCAGAGAAGGTACATGTTTCCTGTATGGGACATGTATGGATGATACTTTATGGTTTGTTCCTGAGGCTCCGTAAAGTGGGATAATCATACATACTAATTACAGCTGTACAGGAAGACAGGAATATGCAGGAGGACGGGAAACCTCACTAATGTAAAACCATATCCAGCTGTAATCTTGCAAGAAAGCTCCGAAAACTCAGGGCAAAGGTCTTGAAGCAGTTGGAATGGAACAGCGTGGGCACAGGAACTCCCTAATCCTCAAGCTTTGATAACAGATCAAAGAGAGGTGCCATTTCTAGCATACACTGCTTAATTATTAGTAGCCTAATACAAGAACACACTGTCTACTGATTGATCCCCCTTGCATGCAAGCATGTAAACTACAGCCTGTTTCAGACCCTACAAGACCCTCAGGCTTTAAGAGTCTATTGCTATTAATAAACTTTGGCTTTTGACCATCAGTCAGCAGACCACATGTGATTATTGGCTCTGTGTACCAAGTCCCTCACTGCTGAACAGCAAACACATGTGTCAACATGTTTTCTCCAGCAGCACTTCATTTCTGTAACAAGTATACCATTATGTTTTCACTCTACCTCTAAGATTCCTAACTCACTGGAAGGGTTCTAGACAATTTTATACAGTAATAAGCAAATTGAGCCTTTGGAACAGTGCTTTCTCAACATTTTAGTTAGAATGTCCTTCTGAAAATCTGTGGAAACCATCGGCATCTTTCATATTAAAGGTGTACATATGCAAATTAGCACATTTCTGACATAGTTGAGGGGATTTATGAGAATTCCATATACACACTAAAACCCATCTATAGATGTCTTAGGTTCAAGATGTCAGCTCAGGGGTAAACATCACAAAAAAACACTACGATCTAGAAATAAGTTGGAAAATACCTTACATAAATGTCGTTAGAGCCCTCCAAGTGTTCACTGAATGTAAGGCAGAAGCCAAAACTATCCATTCCTTTGTCCTTGTCAGAGTTCATTGAAACCATTTAGTAAGAGTAGATTGCAGCCTTGTAAATGTTATTACAAATCTGAAAGAGTAATATAAGTACTAATACTGTAGAGAGGCACAGGAAAAGGAAATGGTGACCTAGAGTGGCAACCAATTAAGCCAGTGTAGATTTCAGTTGATGTGCATGATAGTAAAATAAAATCAAGAACAAAAATCTAGAAGCCATGCAAAAAATTTCCTTGTGGGCAACCTGCAGTGTGAGAAAATAGGATATGTATTGTTCTCACTGTTCACAAAGATGATATAAGTTACTTCTTTTTTTGTTTTGTTTTTATTTTACAAGTTACTTCTTTTTAGTCACTTTATTTATGAACCTTTATAATAAACTGTTCTCTTAGACTGTGACATCAAAAATATAGATTAACTGTTTTCTTCTTCTACACTCTCTGAGAAACAAATGGAAACGTCAACTCTCTGCCAAGGACTAGAACAAAAATGTAATTCTGGTTCCAAGGAATGCAGAGCAGGTGCTTTCATAGAAGTCTTAAAACCACTGGCCCAAATGCTTCTACTGGCTAGGATTAAGACATCAAGGGAAATACTTCTACCTGGTCCTTTCTTCTTTTTTCCCTTGTTTTGGAGATTCTGAAAGATGCATCTTCTTCGCACTGTAAGGAATGTATTGGGACAGACTGCCCACACATAAGGAAGGCCTTCATGTTGAACTGGGTAAGTTCCCACTGAATGGATGTATCAGGGATCCCGTGTAGTCATAGATTCAAAATTCATAATCCAATTTTGTTAGTAATAATGCTAAGTTTAAATCCCTTATATGACTGTCTGTTTTGAATTGGAGCCAAACTCAAAGGACAGAGCAAATAGCACTTTGTGGAGAGACACCATCAATATATTTTGTTTTAAACAAAAGCAAGTTATCTCAGTTTTCTTCTGTTGGTAATGGAAACTTCTAATGGATCTAATTCACATGCTGGCTACTAACAGGATTAGTAGAGACAACTGCTTTGCAGTAGCAGCCTGCAGGAATTATTACAGTGGTGAAGCTTCTCACTGTTAATTGAAGGTTGAAAGAGCTTAAAGTGATATACCTAGTCTGAAGTTCTTGTGAAGCCAAGAACGAGCCAGGAGTTGATATCAAGATAGTTTTAGAGTGTCTTGATAAATTTGAGTCTCAGATTTCTGTGATGGATATTTTGTATAATGCACTCTGCTAAAACCTTTAATCAGCTATCTAGCTTTCAATGATAAAAGTTCATTAATTAGCTTACTGTTACGAAATATCTTTTGGGAACTCTCAACACATTAAAAACATGAAAAAATAGCAGAGAAAAAGTGTTTTGAAACCTCGGGGCACAAGAGTTGAAGAACATATACTAATATCTGAAAAGGTAAGAATCAGTCACGGGTGGGAGGAAACACATGCAGACCATGTGCCTGTTAAGAACTTCCACCCAAAGTATATCAATTACTCTTTGAATTATTCTAACTCATAATCTAAATTAATTGAGTAAATAACATAATGTGTAATAAATAGTAATCATTATTAATTGAGTGATCTATGCTGGGTACTTTATTTGTAATCCTCACATCAACTGTGCTCTCTGAGCTTTTGTAATTTCTGCTTCATATAAGAAAACTGGCTCAGAGAATTTAAGACCTTGCAAAATGACCTACAGTGAGTACATATTAATGATGCGAAGTATCTTGTCAAAGTTGACACTTTTCCACCAAGTCTTGCAGTAAAATAGAGTACCATTAGAAATTCTTTTGTGAGTCAAAACAGCCAAATATTTTTACCTCAAAGTTCTCGTTCTTACCTGTTCATCTGCTTCTTGAAAACTGTCGGCATCAGTGCCGTTTGTTTCAAATTTTCCACAAGTGCCACTAAGAGATGAGCTGCTGTCACTTATGCTTTCTTCCGGGGTTCCTGTGACACTGTCACTAGCTGGTCGTGAGGACACAAAGAGGCTGATGTTATCAAAATCTTCATCACAGAACCTGTTTTCAGCATCTGCCTTCTGCGCTTTTGCTGGGTTGTAGGGTTTTAGGAAGGAGGAATACACATATCCTTTTACAACTGGATAGAAAATAAGAAGAAATGAATCAGAGTCATGCATAGCTCTTCCCCAACATGGCTGCTTAGAGAAGCACGCAGAAGTCTCCGCAGAAAAATCTTAACCTAAAGAGGAGTCAGCTTACTTCCTGTGTCCACAAGCCATCTGCTTGTGCTCCCAAACGGATCTTTCTGTTCTATCACAGCCACCAACTCTCCTTCCAGAAGATTGATGTCATGCTCCTGTGTAGCATTGCACTTGCGCTTGGCTTGGTAGAGTTCCCCTGCACTGTATGTGGACAGAAGCTTGGAGCGGTGAATGTCAGTTTGCCGTGGCACTTCCGGCTGGAATTGAAGTAAGGAGAAATTTTTGTCCGCATTGAGTTAATAAACATTTACTTATAATGTGGAAGTCATTTGCTGACCTGGCATTACTTCAATATCAGAGCCCATATCAGGCTTTTATTGTCACGTATACAGCTGTATTATTCAATGAGAAAACTCTCTAGTAAGCACATGAGGGTAGTGTTGTAGTAAAGAAAAAAAATTCTGCTGATGACAAGGCAGAAGTTCTAATCCTCCTTGAATGCCAAGCAACATTTCAACTGGCAGTCAAGCCCTGGCACAGGAAACACTTGGAAGTGAATAGTTAATTAAGTAAGTTATATGTGTGTATGTCCATTTTTCTGGGAAATGGTAAGCTAGGAATCGAGAGTCAAGAGTCATTGACTGCATTCCAGTGCTGACATTAAAAGACCTTAAGAAATTCACTTTATTCCTACAGCCTGGGGTGCCTTATTCTTAAAAATAAAAGGGTTGAGTAGGTTATTTATTTCTATAAAAACCTATTCAAAATACATTTTTTCAGTGCTTATCTTTTGCCAATCACTATTTTAGGTACTTTGATGATACAACAAGTACAAAACATGTTAAAAATGAATGTTTTGTAGGGCTTATAATAAAAGAATAGAAATGGGTGATAAAGTATATACAGATGATGGCATATTAGAATGGGATAAATCATAGGAAATAATATACTATGAACTGGACAAGGCAAATAAGTAACGGTTATACATTTTGACAAACTCACCAGAATCTGCATAGGCTTCTTCTTTTCAAAGCTAAGTTTCCTCTCAATAAATGTGGCACTGTTATCCTTCACAAAATTCATACTGTGCACCTCTTCTAACACCCGATTCTGAATCTCAGAGATACTTGAAACCAACAGGGGCACCTACAGGTTGAAAAAATACAGTGTTGTTTCTAGATTGCTGAGTGACGAGGTGGGTGTTGAATTTAGTGCAGTTGTGATGAGTAGCATAGATTAGGTTGACAGCAAAACCATTTTAGATACTGTAATTCAGTAAATCTGGAAACCCCAGTAAAATGATGGAGTTAATTTTTTAAGGATTCAAGCCCAAATAAAAAGAGAATGGAAAAGGCAAAATAGTAATAAAGGCTTAGAAATCAAAAGTCACTGCGACACTGTGGCGTGGAAGTGACAAGAGAAGAGAAGCTACACAAGAACCAAGGAGCAAGAGATTGTACTGGCTTTCAAATAAGTCAGAAAAAAAAGTTATGATGTATTTCCCTCCAGAAGTGGAGTGTTTCCACACCTTCACAACTGTGCGGGTTTTTTTTTTTTTTTTTTTGTATGTTTCTTTTGAGGGACTCAATGGATAAAACTTTGAAATAAACAGAACAGTAGAAGTGGTTCCATCTGACTTTGAAGATTTGGTGAAGAAAACCCATGGAATTTCTGTTGCTTTCTCTTGGGACACTGCTGGTGGAAGCTTAACTTACTATGCCAAAATGCCAGCTTAGATAGCTGATATTTTTAAACAGTCACAACTGAAAAACAGTTGAGGGCTAAATGGTAGCATACAATAAGTAATTAGAAGTTGAAAATATAGAGTTTATTATATAATCTGATTATCATTTCATTTGGAAACCTTGACGTTAACAGCATTTTTAGAACTTTTCTTTTGAGCTGGTTAGAATACTCAAAGGAAAATTATTCAAATCTTCTGTCTGGAGGATAACAGTGTGATTGCTCGGCCTGACTGGGGTGGGGGAGACAGCTTTGTATATCCATTTGCTTATTGGCCAGCTGCTCCACTTCCAATCCAGCTCCAGACTAACAGCTTGTGAAAGAAGCAGAGAATGGGCCAAGTTCTTTGGCCACTGTATCTATGTGAGAGACCTGGAAGAAGGTCCTGGCTTTGAAATGGCCCATTTCCTGCCATTGGGGCCATCTGTGGAATGAACCAGCATTTGGAAGATCAATCTCTCAGTCTCTCCTTCTCTCTCTGTTACTGCCATTCAAGCAAAAATAAGTAGATCTTTAGAAAACAAAGGAAGGAAGGAAGGAGGGAGAGAAGGAAGCAAGAAACAAAGGAATGAAAGAAGGAATGAAGGAATAAGATGAAATAAGTAGTTTTTTTTTAAAAAAATCAGATAGTCCAGGCATGACACTAACATGTGAGATGCTAATAGAAAAAGAAACCTGTCTTAATTTTAAGAAAACAAAATGAGTTCTTGAAAATTAAAATTATAAGAACAGAAATTAAAATATTAAAAGACTGATGTAGGAAAAAAGAAAGTAGAGCAACTAACAAAGATATATAAAATAAACTGGGAAAATATAATAAAACTAAAAATCCAGAAGATTCCAAAAAAAGAAAAGGTAAAGGAAAAAAAGAAAAGTCAATGAAATATTGAAATATTTCTAAATTATTCAAATACTAAATATTCAAATGTTCTAGAAATGCAAGCAAAGTTTCCAATTTAAAGAATCCTATTAAGTATACAATACACCAGCATACATCATCATTAATTTTTCAAAATGGTAGAAACAAGGAAGAAGTACCATAAATTTTCAGGACTAGGATGGGATAAGCAAACCAAATAATTAAAATGGACTACAAAGTTCTCAACAGAAACTTAAAACTAGAAATGACAAAACAATAGACTGACATCGGAGTTAGAAAGAACTGAAGACTCTACAACCAACTACACCATCAAGTGTGATTAGAGACACTTTTCAGTTATTCAAAATGTCAAAATATTTATCTCCTAATCATTGTTTCTCAAGGGACTACTAAAATTGTGCTGTACATCCCAAATCATAAAGTAATCAAGTCAGCATGAGCTAAGGAAACAAGGAAATGAGATTCCACATAGAACAGTAAACGGAACGATGATCAAGTGTGACTTTAGGATCATAGTTACTTATCACATAAACTAGCAACCAAGTCAGGTGGGAGTGAATCGGAAAGCTCTGGAAATGCTTTCTGCAAGAAGACAGAGTTGACCAACTTCATTGCATACGTGAAAGTCTTACAAGGCAATTTATCCAATTGATGGATAAGGTTATGCAAAGGAAAATTAAATTAGTGATTAAAGAAAAACCCATCACTAAAGTCAAGGAAAACCAAAGCTAAATATGAAAGAAACGGTGATCAGTAGTCTGTGTGTCTCTGATTCACTTTGTGTGCTGGCTGTTTTCTTCGGATTCATTCTGCTTCCTTTGCCTTCTTGTGCTCTGGGAGGCTGATCAGAATAGAATGAATTGACAGCATTTTTGCTTGTGTGGCTTTCAGATAGGTTTAACCAATGAAGAAATCCCAGAGGAAATCAGAATAAGGAAGGAAAATGAGATATTCATTTCCTGAGTTTCCTTTCTGCAGTGTTAACTACAACACACTGCTTTTGTCACTCTCCTACACTCTATTATGTCATTTTTTTAAAGATTTATTTATTTTTATTACAAAGTCAGAAATACAGAGAGGAGCAGAGACAGAGAGGAAGATCTTCCGTCCGATGATTCACTCCCCAAGTGAGCGCAACGGCCAGTGCTGTGCCAATCTGAAGCTGGGAACCAGGAACCTCCTCCAGGTCGCCCATGCAAGTGCAGGGTCCCAAAGTCTTGGGCTGTCCTTGACTGCTTTCCCAGGCCACAAGCAGGGAGCTGGATGGGAAGTGGTGCTGCTGGGATTAGAACCGGCGCCCATATGGGATCCCAGGGCATTCAAGGCGAGGACTTTAGCCGCGAGGACTTTAGCCACTAGGCCACGCCGCTGGGCCCTATTATATCATTCTATAACCTCTGTTTCACCTTATTTCTTTCCACCTATAGAAGTACCTGTAGAAGTCTTGTCTCTTTGACTGCTCTGTAGGGCAGAGTGCTGTTCCTAAAACCTCCCATATGCTTGCATTTACTGCAAGCATACATAGATTTTTTTTATAAATAGACTACTAAATTTTTTCTCCAAATGCTCCATTTGAGTGTGTTATGCTTTTCCTGCTAGGATCGTGACTGACAGACAAGTCAAAGAATTTAAACACTGAATATGAACTTACGAAGATTTATGATATAACAGGAGAGAGATAAAAATATGAATATATATGTTGTGAGGGCATAGAAAGAGGAAAGAACTAAATCCTCATTTTTCATAGTGCAATATATCATCCCTTAAATTGAAAAATGATGAAATGACAACACAAGTTTTATTTTAAAATACTAGAAAATCACCCCAAAATTGAAAAAGAGTTGCCTCTGAGAAAGAAGAAATGGAGAAAAGGGAATGAAAACATTTGGTTTCCTTAAGCAAGGCTGTATAATAAATTAGATCTCTCAATCATGTGCATATAAAAACTCTGGTCAAAAATGAAAATAAAAATAGGGCTTTGTATTTCTAAAAAATGTTAATTACTAAATTATCACTAATGGCACTTCTGAGTATTAATCCAAAACCATTCTAGACAGAATCTTCAAGTGTTAGTTGCACAGCCATCTTCAAAGCACCATAACTGATAATTGCCAAGAGTTAAAATGACCCAAGTGTCTATTGACACATGAATATGTAAAAGAAATATGGTATTTACCTATAAAGGGATCTTATTCAAACTTTAAAAGTAAGGAAATTCTATCAGATGGTTCAGCATGCATGAACCTTAAAGCTATTTTGCTAAATCAAAGAAGTCATTAAGAGACAAATATACAAACATATTCCTTCAGAAACTGTGGAAGTTGAATATAAAATATCTACATTCTCACAACTATGAATTTTTAATATTCTCAGTATAAAAGCTTAAGCATATATGGCACATATATAGAATGAAATGGTTTTTCTACTTTAGAACATTAGTAATTTCTTATAAATTGTTTGAGGAAGAGAATATACCCATCAACTTCTTCTCTCCCTCAATGCCCATAGTGACCATGGCTAGAGCCAGGACCTAGAAACAAAATTCAGGTCTCCCTCATGGGTAGTAGCAACCCAGGTATTTAAGTGTTCACTGCTGCCTCCAAAAGTCTGCACTGGCAAGAAGCTAGAGTCAGGATCCCGAGCTAGAGATCAAATCCAGGTATTCCTGTGCAGTAAGTGCTAGGCTAAATACCCATTTTCAGAATGGCAGGGATATCTAAAACAAACAAATAATCTCTGTCCTCCTACTATGGACTGCCATGTGAAATATATTCAGACAGTTTTAAAAAAGTTTAAAGACTGTTTTAACAATTCAATACTGTGACCTCGGAGTGAATTATCCAAGAAACTACAGATTAGTCCATTGCTTTTTGGCTAAGGCCAAGGTACATAAACAGGTTTCTCTTCCTTAGAGGAAAATAAAAATAAAACAGAATGGTTTGATTGCTACCTTCTTCTGTCATTATGCTGAGATGGTCTTCTTTTTAGAGCTCCATTATAAATAACCATGGTTAACATCTAAGAACTTTTAATTGTTAAGGAAATTGGCTTCAATGAAGTATCAGGCAGATGGTGCAAAGCTAAAAGTTATTTCCTATTTGAAAAGGGGATCTCTGATAAAGAACTGCAAATGTGTAAGTTGCTGTAAACCTGAACTACCAAACCTGTTTTTCCTCCCACAAGGAAGAACAAAAAAGTTATAGAAGACCAAGCTCACTGCCTTTGTTAAAATAAATTACATCCCACCCAACACCCATTGGTGCCCACTCTGACTAGAGCTTATTTTGCATGGAAGTGGATTCTGGTAGAGCCAGAAGCCATGGGTAATTGTGAGCTGGTGTTGTGCTTACCAGCACCTCCGTGGAGTAAGACTGCTTGGCTGTGAACATCAGATCCCTGAGCAGAGTGATGAAACTGCACAGACAGTTCAGCAGAATCTTCCGAGCAGCCTGATTGAACACCTGCAGTTCTTCTACAAGCTGGGCATTGAGGGCCTCGTACTCCTTTTTGGCCAAATCTGACTCCTCTCCTGCAGACCTCTGCAGGTAGCTGTTGTAGTCCAGCAGTTTGTCATAGCGTTTCTGGATGAGCTTCAGAGGCCCAGGGAACAAGGACAGCAGGGCTGACAGTGGGCTCAGGACGAGTCTGTGTAAGTGGGCTGCCTGTCAAAAGAAAAAGGGATCCTGTTACCAAGAGGAGCAGCCCACACCATGTCCAGTGCCATGATCAATAGGCTGACCTCCTTCACACGAGAGTACCAGGAACACAGAAAGCATCTAGCCAAATTAAAAAGGAAATCTGATTGTTTTGTATTTAACAGAATCTATCTAGGAACTTAAAGCATAACTCCCCTAATTGTAAAAAGTTAGCAGGAAGAGAAATTTGAAGGTGAAACCTGCATGCCCCAAATGCAACTCGATCCTTCTCTCTAAAGCTATTGGTTTTTGTCACTGGGACCAAATCATTTAAAATGTTTAATTTCTCTTCTTTCTAGTTCAGAGCCAGGCTGAACGATTCCAGAACATGGGTTGTGTCCAACGTTAACTCTCCAGATCGTGCAAATGGCTCAAGACCACTTGCATCAAACAGATCATGTTCAGTCTTAGAAGAAACTGTATCCTATTCCTCCCACACCACCCCTAAATTTCTGGCTACCGATGGGCTTGTTTTAAGTGGTGAACTGCATTCCTTATATAAAGGATAGTAACCACTAAATATAAGTAATTCACACCTGTGACAGAATTGACCACATAGTTAAAGGTAATTGAAATACTTTGAAGGGAAATAGGCTCTATGTCTTTAGTTCTACATCTTGGAGGAACTTCATATTAATCCCCAATGCTATGCCAGTACCTGAGTTCCCAGGTTTCATTTCTCCTACTTCTCTTTCCCTTAACTCTAATCTGATGTGTCTTAGTTTCCTGTTTGCTAACCACCTTATTTTATCTTATATGCTTAAATTATATGATTATGTTATGGTAATCTGAAAATAAAGTTCTCTTTTGAATCCCAAAAGATGGTCTAGCAAATCAGCAGCTAGCAACAGCTTGTATTAATTAATGTAAATGGCCCCTGGTAACTTTGAGCTCATGGGAAATCTAGCAGAGAGGGAAACCACTTATTGGGATCAGCAATAGCTAACACATATTACATTTGATGCCTGGTTTATGTGATAATCAATAAGTGCCTGAAGACTGTTCAGTGACTCCCTTGACTAAGCAAATAATCTATTTTATCTAAAATAAATTACTGTGTGATGTGACTGGATTCCACAATTAATTTAATTATAACATTATAATTACAATATCCAATAACTTACAGACTTGAACTGATTTCTCTGGCAATTATGCTCACAATAATAATCGGATTTTGTTTTAATATTTTGTCTTACATAAAATACATAGGTTAGATAAGAACAACTGCACTGTCCTTAGAAAAAATTTGATTTTTCATATGCGGTTTTCAGAGTCCTATCTATTTTACCTGTTAACCATATTTATATGAAGCTAACAATTTTAATTTTGGAAAATTCTAGAGCATGTTAACAAAACCCTTAAGAGCTTTTCTGAAATATATTTCCTGTAATTAAATCCAGAACAGACTTAAAAACCATGTACACATATTCCCATTAAACCTATGATGTAGAAACTTCTATCCATGTATTCATCCACCTGGAATTGACCAACCCATTTTTATCAAGTTAGGCAATCTATAATCCTGACTTTCTATTTCCCAGTGCCAGAAAACCAAGATGCATATTTGTGGTGCTCTATGGCGATGGGGATTGTGTCATACCACCTGACAGTTCAGAAACGTGAGAGACCTCAGAAAGTTCATTGAAGATATCTCTCCCTCTAATGCTAATGTGCAAAACAAACAACAAAAAAGTGTAAAAAATAGAAAACTATTTTCCCTTGGAACAGAAATATGTGATTCCAGAAATAACAAACACTGACTTTCAGAACCTTTTTGCTTTCCAGTGCTAATAAAAGTCATTCTCAGGGATTATCTTGTGTTTCTTCTGTAAGAAATTGGGACATTTTGAGTGAATCCTGTAAGAAGCTTGCAGCTTTCTAACTTAGAAAAAAAATCTGTGATATATTTCATTAAGATTTAAATAAGTATTGATTTTAAAATGCTACACAGACTCTGATGAACCCCTGAAACATGGTCCGGGGTCCTGTCATTTCAATTTTAGTAAAAATCCTCACTAATCCACTTTAAAAATATTTACTGACTTTTTAAATCCCCTGTTTAAATGTACTAATTTTAACATTCGTGCTTGCTTTAATGCACATTTTATTTCCCACTCCAGAAAAACAAATAAGAGGCAGCTTCACTTTTAATTCCACTGTTTTTTTTTTAATTTTTAGGTAAATACAAATAACTTACAAAGTCATGACATGGATTTGAGGTATGGCTTGGAGCGTCACAGTTGCCCTTCTCTTTCTCATCTTGGTGGTGGGAAATCTCCTGCAGCTCTGTTACACTCTGCTGGGCACAGGGCATGGCATCCTGGAACCCAAGAACATAACATAGTCATCAAGAGGACAGGTTCTGATGTCAGCACTACTAAATCTGTCCAGATGTAAAAAAAATAACAACAAAATCGTGAGTACTCTGTAAAACCAGCTTACTTTTGCAGCAATTTCCTTTATTTTTCTCCCATGGAATTTTATTATAATATTGTATGAGGCCCTCTCTAATTAAATAGCATGCATCTTAGATTCCTCATTGGACATTCTTTTAACATTCAATTCTTATAAACTTCTTATTTTTTTTTTTTTAAAAAGTCCTCTTTGGTTTGTGTCATTTGCTTTTCTCAGTGAATTGTATGCTCTCTTTAGAGAAGGGGCTCACATTTCTGTTGAATCAAATAATGGAAATAGAAAATTTAAGCAAGGGCTGATGGCAGGTTCAGTCTCCACTTGAGATTCCTGCATTCCATGTGAGAATGCCAGTTCAAATCCAGCTAGTCTGTTCCCCATCCAGTTTCCTGCTAATATGACTGGGAAGTCAATGGATAATGACCCAAATGCCTGGGTCCCAGTTTCTTGTGTGGGAGAGTTACATGGAACCCCAGACTCCTTGCTTAAGCCTGATGCAGCCCTAGATGTTGTGGTTTGAAGGAGTGAATTTCTGGGAAGACAATGCCTGTTTGTCTTTCTGTCTCTTCCTCCATCTCCCTCTTTCTGTCCCTGTGCCTTCCAAAGAAATAAAGGAAAACTTTTCTGTATGTGTTCCCAAGAAGCATGTTTTCCTTGAAAGATACATAACATAGAGTTCCCACTGTCCTCTGACTGTTGTAACCAGGCTTGCATTTTCTTTTCCCATAAAGCATCCTCTAGTGAAAGATGAGCAAATCTGATTGTAAAATATCAGTCTTTGCATCAGATAATACATATGGACAGGAAGCTGCTTGTCCTTATGTAATGTGGAACCTTGTCTTCAAATCATTGTACTTGTCAATTTAATCCTCTACCTGTGTGATGTTTTATCTATGTGTTCAAGCATCTATCACCAAAAGCAGTTATCCAATATAAAAATCTTCAGGAAAATGGAAGGGCACCATTTACTAACTAATTTGCACTTCACTTTACTAAGTAACCATGTCTCATAGTCATAGCCACAACTGGGATGTTAAGGAGGCCCTCTCCTCTATGAGATGCACAAGGAGAAACTCCCAACTTTGAATTCTACTCAGAATGACAGTATTGTATACTGCAATTGCCTCAGGAAATCAGGGATTCTCACAAAGGTTTGGACAATCTCTTTGGATATTGGAAATTTGTAAGGAAGGGTTGATTTTATCTTCTAGTTTATTCACATGGGAGAATTTACATATTGCAGTTCATGACATTTTATAGCTCAGTTATTTTCCTTTGTGCTGATTTTATATTTATTTTAGGCATCAGAAACATGCTAGTACAGCCAAACAAATAAATAGAATTCCTGCAATTTTGTATTAATGAACTCATCTCTGTTATAAAGAAATCATGCTGATGGTTCATGTGGCAATTGTCTGAGCTGAAATCCTGACATATGATGCTTTGGGTTAAGGTGAAGCTGGGGCAGATTAACAAACAGCAAAATTCAAATCATTCTTTTGGCTTCTTTCTAGAGTAGTTTGTAGCCTTCCAGGTTTGACACAGTGTCATCACATTTACCTTCCTTGATAACCAAGGAAATCAATGCATTCTTGTAGAAACATTGCAAGAAGCTGTGCGGCACCTACCTGCATATGTTGTAAATAGAAGGAAATGTTCTTCACAGAATGCCTCACAGTCTTTTCTAAAGATCTCAATAGCTTTTCTTCTCTGTTAAAGGTATTGTCTTTCACCTAAATAATATATAGAATTACTTAGTCATAATTCAAACAACTTTTTTTTTTCAAAAAAAGCAAAGCACATTACACTGGCTCTGAACCTTACAAAAAAGTGTTTTGTTACTATGAAAACCTTGTATGATTGGCAGACTGTTTAGAACATACTACCCTCTGTGTTGGCACACAGCACAACTGATGTTCAATTAGCATAGCAAAGCATGTCATGACGTCCACTTTGCTGTTGTTTGCTTTCAAAGAGCTTCTCTAAGTCACCGTAGATATTGCAATGTAATTTTTTTCCTGTATTTGTGATCATTTGTATAGGTATATATAAATCGCATCTATCTATCTATCTATCTATCTATCTATCTATACACACATATACACACTATACACACACACACACACACACATATATATGGGTTATATAATAGTTATATTTTATTTACTGGTTCATAAATGCTGTTTTACTTATATGCCTTATTTCAGTTTATTTCACACAGCTTATATAGAAACATTCCTAGGGTCATGGTTAAAGAAATGCGCTACGTCTCTACTTACTGAAATGTGAACGTCGGCATATAACCTTAGCAAAAGTACCTTTATAGGGATAGCTCCTCAGAATTAAAATAGCAGTTCATAAACTGTTTAATTTTTTGTCATTTTATATGCATATCTACTAACATTTAGTAAAACACACATTTTAAATGTTTCTGACAATTCCCAGTAGCACAGAGTCATTAATACTATTAAAGAAGAACTGTTTCTTAGCGTACAAAATGGCTGCAAAATGAGATCAGGGTCACTTTATACCGTCAAATCTATATGAAAATACAGATGTTTCATGGAATAAGCTGTATTCTATTTGGCACTGGGTCCTTACCGTAGCCAGTCTTGGTTCATATACATAGATAGATATGTTTTATTTCAGACAGTTGATCTTAGAACTGAATTGATAGAAGTGGTGACATTTTCACCGGTGGGGTAGCCTAGTGGCTAAAGCCCTTGCCCTGCATGCACCAGGTTCCCATATGGGCACTGGGTCTAATCCCACCAGCCCCGTTTCCCATCCAGCTCCCTGCTTGTGGCCTGGGAAGGTAGTTGAGGACCCTGCACCCACATGAGAGACCCAAAAAGAAGCTCCAGGCTCCTGGCTTCAGACTGGCTCAGCTGCAACCATTGTGTGGGGAGTGAATCATCAGATGGAGATCTTCCTCTCTGCCTCGCCTTCTCTTTGTATATTTGCCTTTCCAATAAAAATAAACAAATCTGTTTTTTTTAATAGCAATGATGACGTCTTACCTAATTGTTAAACCCTGTTGTGTATCTGAAAAGCCTTTGGTTAAATAAGAAGCAGAGTTTTTATAATTTAACACTCTCACACCCAGTCAATCATATATAATCATACATTCATGTAGATTTTTGGAACCCATCCAGATATTTTATTTCGTACATCTTGGCCATGACTTGGAGAATTTTAAATAGGGCATTCAAGGATAATATCATGAGAATTACACCAACTTCTCTTTTCCTGTACCCAGGACTTTATCCTGCCCCTTTCTTTTGCTAACGTATTGTCATCCTGTCTCTGCATTACAAAAATTTATTAGTTATCTCAGCACTAGTTCAACTTCACTCTGTCTGTGAGTATTCCCTCCTTTCATATTTTTCCCACAATAAACAATTGTTTCTTCCCATGTGTTGCCCTAGACCTACATCAGTATTTAAGAAATTCTAACCTCAGATACATGAAGGAAACAACATGGAAATAATAGTCTTACCCACTTTTCTATAGCCCTTGAACCTTTTTATCCTAATTAACTATGTAAAGATTGTCAAAAACATAATAAAAAATGGAAAAAACATTCTATTGGTGGAATTAACATGTTTAAAATTAAGGATTTTTGTCTTATACTGTGGCAATACCTGTTTTCCTTTTTTGTTCATTTTCATTTTTATCCAACTCTATGCTATGGGTATTATTATTGATTTCATTTTACACATGAAGAAGAAGCTTCAGGATGTATGGCAGAAATGGTTTACACGCCACCTATAGTGCTTTTACTGATAAGACCTATACTTATACTTTGAGTTGGATGCATGCCTGCCCTACTAGAAATTACGTTTTTCAGGCTCCCTTGCAGCTAGGTCTGGCTTTGTAACTGGATTTAGGAAAATAGGATATGACACACAAGTGTTGTTGTTTTTTCTGAGTCTTGTTCTTGTATTTCCCTTGGGACTTGACTAAAGACAGGGCAGTGACCCATTTCAACTGGGCAGAGATGGCCATATAACTGGGAAAAAATTTAAAAATTAGGGAAACTCTGTTTCTGATGGGCCTCGTGAAGCAGAGCTCATCTGGACTCATATCATGACTACAAATGATGACTTGATTTAAGCTACTATGCTTTGCAATGTTCTTATGACAGAAATGTCACCTCTTCTGTTATGAAACTTCCCCATATTACTGGGCAAGAACAGGAGTTATACCCTAGCAATCTGTACTCAGAACCTATACTTGGTCATCTTCATGTTCCCATTCTCTAACATAGTATCTGGAACACGAGAGTTCAATACACGTGTGATGAATTGACTAGAATCTTCCTCTTGGATGATGGCATTATACCCTAACTCTACCAATATTTAATCTGAACTGCTGACAACAGCAAAACTGATTGATTTGATATTTATCTCTTCTCCAGTTCAGCCTACACAGCTGATTCTCTGATTAACAGTGAAATGCTTCATTGGTGACCGGATATCCTCTCAAAAGACTAAGAGGGAAATCTAATTAATAACAACTTCTGCCACCTTAACTATAATGTATTTTTAGTTCACAACTGAAAAATAAAAGTAGCTGATGAGTAACATATTAAAGGATGTAACAGCTTAGACAAAAACCTGCTCTGAAATAGAACCCTAGATTGTTCAGTAGAATTGTCATGAGTCAAAAGTAAAATCCTAGATCATAGGAGGATTGTTTGTACTGCATCTACATCTCTTTTTAAATGAATTTCCAACTTGATTTTATCGTGGGTGTCTTAAGTTGAAATGTATTGATTATCCTTTGCCTGATCTGTGACCATCTACCATGAATGTTCTTTATAAATTATAGTTCCTTTTTTTAAATTCAGAGGTTGTGAGAGCCCCAGAATGCAGAAGTAAGCACAGAATAATGCAAGCTGTGTGTTCCAAAAATGTACATGTTAGCAATGTTATGGTAAAGTTATTGCAGTCACAGAGGGAACAAGAATGAGGATTATGAAGAAGTTAATTACACTCACAGTCCCAGAGGGGCAGTCATTGGGTGCTACCCAGGGCCACATAGGAAGCATCGATTTTGGGTCAGGTGGCAGAAAATGAAAGTGAAGGAGTCAGGAAAGCCAGGGTAGGGCAGAGTGTGTTAGTGTATGATTATCCACCGTGAACCATCCCATTGGCCTTTAGCCTCCGGCCTGGACTCTGGGGCTTGGGATCTGACCCCAGGTTGATTTATGGCGGGGTATTATATTAGAAGGTAGTTGGAGCCCTTGATTCACGATTGGTTCGTTTGCAAATGAAAACTGCGGTTTCTAAAAACTGATGGACTCTGAAAGCAGCATTTTCTCCTCACCAGCAAGGTATTTTACAGAAAGTTATAAAGTACAGAAATTAAGATCCACAAGTAGTAATACATCACATACTGAGAAGTCTATACCACACAGGAACTAAGAAATTCATTAAATCGAAGGCATTTAATAATGTGAGACAAAGACACAAAACAATAGTGATGATCATTATTATACTAATGACAGGCAACACATATTAAGTGCTATACACTGTTACGTGACTTCTTGGTATTCAAGCATTTTAATTTAATCCTCAGAAAAATTTCATGGCACAGTAGCAGTATAATCTCCAGTGTACACATGATTATATTGAACTCAAATTATATAACTAAAGACAAAAATTTATTAAGTGCAAGAGGTGGCATTCAAACTTAGATTTATATAAATACAAACATCTTGCTGCTTTATTTATTTATTTATTTATTTTTATTTAAAGGCAGATTTACACAGAGAAGGAGAGATAGAGAAAAAGATCCTCTATCCTCTGGTTCACTCCCCAAGTAGCCAAAACAGCAGGAGCTGATCTTATCTGAAGCCAGGAGCCAGGACTCTCTTCCAGGTCTCCCACACGGACACAGGATCCTAAGGCTCAGGGCCATCTTCCACTGCTCTCACAGGCAACAAGCAGGGAGCTGGATGAGAAATGGAGCAGCCAGGATCGGGGCCCACATGGGATCCTGGCACATACAAGGTGAGGACTTTAGCTACTAGGTTACCATGCTGGGCCCAAAGACCTTATTCTTAATTTCTGTTCTGTTCTAACTCCTGCAAATTATGAACAGTGCCAAACTGGGATGTGGAGAGTAACCATCCTAAGCATTCAGAGAAGGAAGAGGCCACTTCTACTCAAGTGATCAGAAACAAGACTCAATGCAAAGGCATAGCCACCCGCAACAGCTAAAATAGTGAGCTAGATACAGTAAGTTATCTAAACACAAAGTTGAGTCATCACACAGCTGCCTCTGGTTCAATCAAACAGGCAAATTAGGAGGATAACAAATAAAGACCAATAGTATGCTAAGGAATCGTTTTTACTAATTTTGCTTTAAAAGTCGGCTATGTTACTACTTCAGGGCCATGACTTTTCTCGGTGTGTTTCATTGATCACTTAATTTGAGCTCATTGCTTACAAAACACCTGTTTACAGACTTTCAGGTTGCACCCTTGCACCATCAGAAACTGTCTTTTAAGTTTCTCAGATAATTCTTATGCCCATCAACATTTAAGAGCTCTTGTTAATCCATCCAATTTTCTAATAGTTAAAAAAAAATAAACACTTGGGAACTCTGAAAGAAAGTGAGATTTCTTTAAAAGCAGAAGTGCAGGGCATGGTGCCGTGGCTTAGTGGCTAAAGTCCTTACCTTGAACATGCCAGGATCCCATATGGGCACCCGTTCTAATCCTGGCAGCCCCGCTTCCCATCCAGCTCCCTGCTTGTGGCCTGCGAAAGCAGTTGAGGACAGCCCAAAGCCTTGGGACCCTGCACCCATGTGGGAGACCTGGAGGAAGTTCCTGGCTCCTGGCTTTGGATCGGCGCAGCTCTGGCCATTGTGGTCGCTAGGGGAGTGAATCATTGGAAGGAAGATCTTCCTCTCTGACTCTCCTCCTGTCTGTGTAACTGACTTTCCAATAAAAATAAATAAATCTTAAAAAAAAAAAAAGCAGAAGTGCACGGAGAACAATGCCTTAGGGAGATTATGTGCCAATTGGCGGCAACTCTCAGGACTTGGGGTCATTGCTCTGTTCCATATCCTTACATCTTTATCTGCCTCTTGTTGGATTTCTGAATAGAAACACTACAGCTAAGACAGGGTCAGAACCACCCCCACCCTCACTCCCAGGGTTTGGGGAGAGTGAGAGAATCATGTAGGACAATTACATTGATTATTGGTGACTCTCTCGGAACAGAAATAAATAAAAAAACAAAACCTCATAAAAACGTCAGTGTGCATGTTCCCTGGGAAAAGGAACAAGTGTGTGATCCAAGCAGAAACATTACCTGGGATTCTCCTCTGGTCAGAATCTTTAGATGATTTGTCATTCGCTTTGATTTCTTGCTAATCGAATGAATGCTGAGTTTAGACAATTTGTCTTTAAGTGATTCATCCTCATCATTCTTCTTGTATTTTAGAACTGAAAGGGAAGAATGCGGGAATGTATATGAACAAGCGCTGCAGTGTTGTCAAGACCAGTTCCTCTATTCAATAACTATACTGACATGACCTTTGGCCCTTGTTGCAGATGCCACTGGCTCAGCCTTGCTCATGGCCCACACACCATGATCCCACTGACCTGCAGACACAGCTTTTCAAAGACATGAGCTCCTCAAAGTCCAAGATTCATTTAGCTCCAGCATTCAGGAAATCCCTGATGGCAGAGAGAAATGTTCTACTTGTCTTCTCAGACTCAATTGTACCTATTTTCTGAGGTGTTTACAGTGGGGTATCAAGATCCAACTCATAATGAAAAGACAACTGTATCCAGTGTTGAGACAACTAATGAAAAGATAATTGTACTCAATAGAAATCTTCTGCACCATTTATAGTTATTAAGCCAACAGTTTTTGTAAAGAACATGTTGGGAGATTATAACGCAAATGCTGAATAATAAGAAAAGCAGAATGTCAGTTACCAGACAGTTCATACAGAGAAATCTGCTGCTTATAATAAAGACTAATGAACAACTACATCACTTTTTCCTAGCAGCCAGGTATTAAGCACAATATAAAAATTCATCCAAAGAGAATTGGTTGAGTGGATTATGGTACATTCATCAAGAATGTACTAAGAATCAGTAAAAAGGAGGCTAGAATAACTGTGACTAGTCATCTATGACTAGAATGACCATGATACATAATTAAGTTTGAAAAAATACTCTAGCCCTGTACATGTTACAGGAAGGGAAGGAGGAAGAAATGGTGGCAATGTGATGAGGTGAAACATAGAAAGAAGAATGATGAAAAAATACAGAAAGTTTGAAAACAACATAATAAAATGTTGGCTGGACAACCTGGAAAACTGAAATGATGGAAGCTGAACCACTTCACTCTTTACACAGTTTAACCAAAAAAAAAAAAAAAAAAAAGTAAGTGATAATATAACAAGCATCATCCACTGCCCAGCTTTGTCAGATCTTAACATTTTACATCCTCATCAGCTTCTTCAAAAAACTGCATAACTATGGAAATTTCCTGATCCCCATTTTTTATCCTTAACAGGAATTTTTATCATAAACTATCTGGTCTGTTCCATCTGAATCTATCTCTAAGCCTTTACTGTGAATGAATGAATGAATAAAATATATAGAATTATGATTTTTTTCAAGCTGTATAAAGTATTGCCCATATTTTTCTCCCACTTGCTGATTTATCTTTCTTTTAAACTCAAGTTTGTGTTTTTGAATTTGCCAATATAAGTACTCTTACTGTTTTTTATCTTTCTATGGTATCATACTATATGCATTACCTGGACTAATATGTGACTTTTTTCTTTTATAAACAATACTAGTTACTAGAACACATCTCTTTGATCACATGGGCAAATTTTTCTCCAGCAAATAGCTAGAAATCTACTTTTTGGCTGTCAGGTGTGTACATCTTCAGTAGATATTCTCAAACTGTTCTCTAAAATAACAATTCCATTCTGCACCCTCCCCTACAGACTAGGTCAAGCACTTAGTGCTATCCAATAAAGTTGTTTTGCCAATTCATTAGCCTGGGAATATTCCATCATGTTTATTTTAATTAGCACTTCCCTAGATACTAGTGAAGTTTAGCATTTTACAATTGTTTTTAATTTTCTATAAACTGTTTCTTTATTATTGATTTAGTATTAAAATATTTTGTTGATTTAATATCAACAATTGCATATTCTAGAAGTAATACTTCATGTGGTGTCTCTTCATTTTGCTTATAATATATTGCTTTTGAACACCTGTTAGAAACTAGAAACAAAGATAGATGAAGTGTTTGGACCAGTTCACTCTCAATTTATGCCACTACCTTCATGTTAAATCCAGACTTAATATTGGAAGGACAAAGCCAATGAAGAAATTTAACGATATAAATCATCCTGAAGGAAGATTCGAGATCCATCCAAATGTACTGTTTAGGGATAGATTTCTTCCGAAGTATTCAGGAAGTGCCCCTTCTGTTTTACAGTTTGCACTTACATGTTATACTAACTTTATAATTTCATTGTAAATAGTTAAGAAGTTGATAATTCTAGAAAGAAATAAACCTGTTCCTATCAGTAGAACAATCATTTCCCATAAAGTCTCCATTCTCTATGTGCTACACCAAAGGAAGGGCCCTTCACTGGGGTCTGCCACTTCTCATGACTGTGTCTACCTGGCCATGTCTCCCTTTACCACATACTCACCTTAGGAAGATAGGAGGATTAAATGCTGTGGTGTCTTTTTAGCCGACAGAGTGCAGGGACAAAGGGGGATGAGCGTACTATTATTTGGTAAGGTAAAATTGGTGACTTTTGGAATCTCATAATCTTCTCCCAGGCTTCAAGGCCAAACCACATGCTCACCTGCACCACAACTGCAAATTTCAAGCAATCACATTGATTGCAACTGCTGTAGCTCTTTTGATATTCTGGTTCTCATCAATACACTCAGAACACTCCAATTGTGGAATGCCTTATACATGCTCCTACCTAAATCTTTCCTTCTTTTAAGTTCATTGATGTTAACATTAATGTCCTTCACAGCAGCAAAGGCGTCCTCCAGTGCTCTGTAATCTGGGTGGCAGGGAGGGGTAGAATTCCGAAGTTCACACAGCAATAGCGGGTATTTCATCACACGTTGAATCGGTTTGATCATCAAAGAGCCCATGTCCAGCAAGTTCGGTTTTCCTCTATGATAGAGATAAGGCATATCAGTTTGTTAACATGTGTTTCACAAACTCCTTTTCATTTCTGTGACTTTAAAAAAATAACTGATAGAAATATTTTCCCCTTTCATCATTCCATTTGACTACAGAAACTTCCTATATGACCTCACAGATGATGACAGTAAGAAGCAAGATTGAGGGCCCTGGCAGCGAGGCCTAGCGGCTAAAGTCCTCGCCTTGAACACACCAGGATCTTGTATTGGCACTGGTTCTAATCCTGGCAGCTCCACTTCCCATCCAGCTCCCTGCTTGTAGCCTGGGAAAGCAGTCAAGGACAGGCCCAAAGCCTTGGGACCATGCACCCGTGTGGGAGACCTGGAGGAAGTTCCTGGCTCCTGGCTTCGAATTGGCACAGCGCTGGCTGTTGTGGTCACCTGGGGAGTGAATCATCAGACAGAAGATATCCCTCTCTATCTCCACTCCTCTCTGTATATCTGACTTTGCAATAAAAATAAATAAATCTTAAAAAAAAAAAAGAAGCAAGATTGAGAGATTCTACTACTGAACTGAAACCTAAAAGAAAACAATAATATTTCTGTTCATCAAACAGGACTTAAAGCATAATTTTTGCCCATTTTCCACATCATGCTTCATAATATAATATGAACTATTTCAGGTGTTTCCCCTTGATAATCATTTAATAGAGTCCAAGTCGTATCGCTATTTCCCTCGAAAGCCCTGTTTAGCATCAGTTTTATTCTGTGCTTCAAATAATAAAAACCATAAATGAGTATTATTTCTCTTTAAAGCATTACAATCACAGCCTTTAGCAAGTCTCAAAATTGATCAACATCCCACTTTTGTCTCCAGACCCACACTGTTGGTTACTATCTCTGTGATGAGCAATCATGTTCTGACATTGAACCACACAAGCAAGCAAATGGTAGAAAATAGAGAAGATGTGTTACAAGGTAGCTGTATTCCTGGCATTCAGTCTGCAGAGTTGGTCCTCACTGACCCCTCTCTGTAAGATTCAGTTCTGATAACCAAGTGAAGCAGAAGACTCCCCTGCACAGTGTAAATCTTCCCAATAGGAAGCCAGTTATCACCTGCCTCTCCCTGTCCCAACCCAACAGTAAGTAACCAAGTGTGCAACAATTTCCTACACATTAGGCTGAAAACTAGCACAGTTATTAATTTGTGATTCTGTTTCATGTTCGTCTAATCAGGAGTATTGTGGGAAATAGATATCTTCTGACTTGGGGTACATACACACACACACACACACACACATACACACACAGATCTTTCTTCCACTGCTTTACTTCTCAGATGGGCACAACAGCTGTGCCTTGGATCTGACAAATTTGGGAGCCACAGATGCTCACAGATTCTGACATGAGATATTTTTCACAGTGTTTTAAGCCCCTTGCCACGACACCATCCCCTCCGGTGAGTATTTAATGCCAGAAGCAGTGTACTAATCTTATTATGAATAATTGTCAGGATGTTAAAAAGTCAACTATGCAGAGATGGCTTTCTGTTAGGAGCATCCAGCTTTGCTACAAAGACCTTCACATCAAATACATGAAAAAAGGTCAGTGGAGAAACTAAGAATGACCTTTTAAAATGTGAAAACAAAAAATCAAATAATGAACAGAAATCACATCTATATTTCTTAATTGGGGAAAAACAAATGAAGCCAAAATAGTCAGCTAGCTACTTTCAATTTACTCTTTCTCAAGGCTGTTAACTATTTTAAATTCCATGTTTACAGTAGCTACAACTATCTACATTATCATTTTAAGTCTATTATCCTTTATACACACTCCAAGTCAATTTAGTTACAGCAAGGAACTAAAGGGATTTCAGCCAACTAGAAACAAAGTGCAGATTCCAAGACACTTCAGAGAAACAACCAAGCCCAAATTATTAGGAATCAGAATAAACTCTAGATTTTTCATAGCAACTCTGAATGGTAGGATGTGATGAAGCATTACATTTGAATTCTCAAAATGAACGATTTTCGGGCTGCTGGAGGGAGAATTCCTGGGAGATAAGTGGGCTTGATGTCAACTATCCCAATTCTACCAGTTCAAAGCCCACGGGAGAGCTTATTTAAGAAGATGATTACTATTCAGCTGCCTCGTGCCTATTTTCATTATAGTATTTAGCATTTTTATAGCATTGAAGTATAATTTTATTGAACCTGGCTTTTTTTCCGTTGAATTTATCTGGATAATAAGATACTGGACTCTATGTTTGGTATATGCTTGCAACGAAAGAATTTCAACTGAACTTGAACTGTAGCAATGCAGCAAGGTGGAGGAATCCACCATAAGGGGAGGGTTTGGGGAGGGGTGGGGGGAATCCCAGTACCTATAAAACTGTGTCGCATAATGCAATGTAACTAATAAAAAATAAATAAAATATATATTTATATATAAAGAAGACGAAAGCGGTAGCAGACATACTGCCTCCCATTGTCTTGAAGGATTATTTAGTTAATTGGCTGTGAGATTCCCAGTAATGATTAGCAGAGAGAAAATTTTAAAAATAAAGAACAAGAGAAGGAGAGAGAAGAGAAAGAGAAGGGAGAAGGCAATCAACCATTGCGAAGTCCAAAAAACACAGTAACCAGTTTACTCCACGGGTCAGCTGGAACAAGGAAGTTACTGATGTATATGCTAATAATTCAAATACTTCCTATTGATCTAACCAAAGTATCACCTAGATATATAAGAGAATGGAGAAATAGGAAGTGTGTGTGTGTATGTGTGTGCACGTAGACAGGGATAACACAGGGAAATTCTGCCCCAGGAAGGGGAAAAATATGCTCTTAGAATCGTGATGATAAACACCCATATGACGACGTGCTGTGAACACAATATGCTCCTGTGGAGGACACTAAAGGCAGTTAGTAGAAGCATCTATTATTTTCTAAATTAATCTTGTGAAACTCTTCAGGTCTTTTAGCAATTAGTACCTTTTTTTTTTTTTTAAGATGAATGTCTTTTTATTGGAAAGGTAGATACACAGAGAGGAGGAGAGACAGAGAAAGATCCCCAGGCTTTGGGCTGTCTTCGACTGCTTTCCCAGGCCACAAGCAGGAAACTGGATGGGAAGCAGGGCAGCCGGGATTAGAACCGGCAACCATAGGGAATGCCTGTGCGTTCAAGGAGAGGACTTGAACCACTATACTATCCTGCCTGGCCCGGTACCCTTTGTTTTAACAGAAAGAAAGTTTAAAGAAAAAAAAAAAAAACGAGGGCCCCTGTTGTTGCACGGAGGGTAAAGCTTTCATGTGCAGCGCTAGCAAGCATCCTGTGATGGGCACCCATTCCACACCTGACTGTTCACTTCCTATCCGGCCCGCTTAGGACAGGCACTTCTTTGTATGCCAGCAATCCAGGCTCAGGTGTGTGCGCGTGTGTGTGTGTGTGCTTTATTTGTGTCAGCACTTAGAATGTCTGCCTTTATTCATAATATAACCCTAGAACAAAATTAATATTTCCTCTCACCCACATCAACCTAATGTTGATAGTGGAAGAAAATATAAGGTGACCCCTTGGTGGCTCATATTTTCAGTAGGTGTGTATGAAGCTATCGTCCGTTTTCCCTGTACTTCTTAAAATTTAGATAGTTAAAACACACACACAGAGTCAGTTTTCAGCTGCTATAAGTAAGAGGGTTTCTTTTGCTGTTTTTTGGTTGTCCTTTAAAAACCTGCATCTCTTTAAATACATCATTGTTTGCGACACTCCTGGCCTTAAGCCCTGAAGAGTCCAGGGAGTATGCTGCAGGTGACCTTGCCCTTCACCTCCTTCTGTAGCAGAACGTGTGCTTTGAAGCACCCAAAGAAAAGGGAATGGGAGGGAAAATGGTTTATGGTTTTGGTGTTTCTCTGGCCACATGCTGTCATTGCCTTTTCCCTCTTTTGTTCTTGATGTAAAGAATATACTAGCAGGACTAACTCCCACACGGTGGGAAAACACAGGCCATTTTTAACACCTGGATTTCCAACACAGAGTTCTGTTGTTGGGTTTTTCTTTGTCTTTTTAAAATTGTTTTTTATGATACAGTTTCATGGGTTCTGGGGTTTCCTTTAACCCCTCTTCAAATCTTCCCCCACCCTAATTTCCCCCATATTATTATAATATTATAATCCTTCACAGTCGTAAGTCTATCATCCTGCTGTTTAAGAGTATCCTGACATTGTAGCTATGCACCACAGTATAGAGTCCAGCATCCTATTGTCAAGATATATTTAACAGCTTCATCGGGAGTCCATCTTTGATTTGGAAGTAGAGACATATACTGCATTGTATCTTCACATCTGGATATGCTAGTCTCTATGACACGGTTACTAAATATCCCCTTTAATTAAAAGCCATAAAACAAAATCAGCAAAAGAAAGAAAAGTAGAAAATTTACAACATAAAGTTAAGTAGCAAACTACTGAATGACCTTTTTTTTTTTTTTTTAATATTCTGTAAGGGAGTCTGTGCATGCTAACTGCTCTCAGAAGGTTACCTACCTTTTCTCCTAATCTCTGTCTCTTTCCTCTCTTTTCTTTTGGTTAAAAACCCATGCTTCAGGGAGAAAAAAGTGTTAAGCAGAATTCATAGCATTGGGGAGTTCTCTAATGACCCAGCTATGTGAAACTCCTGTCCTTGGCACAGTGTCAGGGCCACCGGCTTTATACTGAAGCATTTCTTTTCCCAACCCCCATCAACTGTTCCCTTAGAGCCGCTGGGAAGGCCTGGATGTGTTGAAAGGAGAAAAACGCTTTGCACTTCCGAAATCTAAAGATCTCAGAAAACTCCTAAACCAATCTACACATATCTGCTAGCCTGTTGTTTTCCCTTTCCCTTTGAAAAAAAAAAAAAGATTGATGAAGTCAGAGAAATCAGTGCTTGCTTGTTTTCTCAAAAATCGGCTCTCCTGCATGGCTGAAGGACAAAGCTTGGTCTCCCCGTGTCCTCAGGGAAGCTGCTTCCTCCCCGTGAGTTCTGAATTCTGCCTGTCCTCAACGTTCCTTCCCCTGTACCAAGCAACACTGACAAGCATTTCTGGCTTCCATTAATATAATTTCTATTTTATAAACTTTACATTCTTTTATGTAAACTTTCAGGAGTTTATATCACACACACATACAGACACTATGAATTCAAAATATTTGATAATGACCATGCCAAGCCAAGCATTCAGATTTTAAGTGTTGGCAATTTTTTGTTTGTAAGTTAGCATCATTTTTTCAGCGGTACACTGGCCAAGACACACTTTTTCCTAGAAAAGTGGTTACTTTCCAGGAGATGCATGTATGCTGTTTTATAAAGTAATTTTACACCAACCTAGTGGTCAGCTATTTATTATTAATATTTCACTTCTACACTAAGTAAATATGACTTTTGCTTCATGAATAGCATAAGGATCTGAATGAGAGAAAACTTAATATTTTACTCTAAAACCTACAAATATTTTCTGAATTATTTTCCATGAAATATTTTTTTAAAACACTATGGTATTAATCTGTTTTTTAAAATGATGTTCTTAGAAATGTTTTTGGATGCACTAAAAGATTCCTAAATAGAAGGATGATTCCTAGCTCCTGAAGGGTTCTTAGCACCAGCAAATGCAATTCAATTTTTTATTAAGATTACTCTAAAAGTTCAAGAAGGGGTACGTGATAATTTAATATTTAAGGTCTTCTCAGAGAAGTTGGAAATAGAGTAACAGTGAAATAGGATGTACTATTAATGTCTGTGACAAATATATTCACAATATTCATTTATTTATTAAAATCAGTACACTCAATTATAAAAACTAAAAATTCTGATTTGGACAAGATTATTCATACTACCTCATGATTTTTAAATCCGATTTCTGTTAGAAAAAAAAAAGTGCTACTATAGTCCTCACCTCTAACTACCCTGATATGACCAAAGTAACAATATACCCATGCATTGAAACATCACATTTTACCACATAAACATGTATAGTTTTAAAAGGTACTTACTCTTGTGCATATATTTTCCTGTAAGAGAGAAAAAAGGAAATGGATGTAAATCTACATATCTGAGGTAATATTATAAAAATGTTCCAGTTGTTATTTTGAAATTTTCATGATATCCTATAGAAGTAGTCTCATAATTTTTAGCCATATCCCTAAAGTTTTATTTCAGAATATATACCATTGTCACACCATAGTTTCTAGAAGATTAAGTACTCTTGGGGCTGGTTTGTGGTGCCGCAATTCAGATGCCATCTGATACGCCTGCATCCCATGCTGGACTGCCTGGTTCCGGTCGCAGCTTAGCTGCTGGGTCAAGTGGAGGCAGCAAAGCCAGCTGGGTTCTTACCACACTTTTGCAAGATCTGGATTGAGGTCCTAGCATCAGATTGTTGCAGTCATTTGGTGAGTGAACTGAGGGCATGGGCAAGTTCTCCCTCTATTTCGAGTAAATAACAAAGAAATTTTAAACCGTCGGTTCAGCTTATCGCCAATAACTTTTTATGATTTGAAAATTCTGTTCAAATTAAGTATTTACGTTATGGAACATGGTAATGGAAGGTTGCATGATTACAAAGGAAATGTTTAAATTGACTGAGGGGAATAAAAGACAAATACCTATATCAATTTTGTAATCTTTTTTCCACTGGTATTAGTACTCCATATATAATGGTGCTTCAAAAGATTTACGGTCCAGAGCAGGCATGTGGCACTGCTCAGGATACCTGCACCCATATTAGACTTCCTTGTTTACTCATTGGTTCTGTTTCCAATGCAGATGCCTACTGATCACATCCTGAGAAGCAGTGGATGATGGTTCAACATGCTGGGTCTCTGCCACCCATGCAGGAGTCACAGATTGCGTCTCTAGCTCCTGCTCTGACCTGGTCCAGAACTGCTGTGGAAGGCCTTTGGGGAGAGCAAATCAGAGGATGAACGAATCTCTCTGCTTCTATTTCTGCCTGTATCTTCTCTTACCCTGTCTCTTCCTTTCAAGCAAATACACACAAACATAGTGGACATTACATAGTCAAATGAAATTAAAATCTGTTTGTTTAGATGTAAAACAACCTTAAATCCCTGTGTATGCGGAGAATTTCAGAAAAAGGAGGCAGAATGCATATTATGAAAAAAAGTCATGCATGGCTTTCAAAAAATTTTGTACTACAATAAACTTTTAATCCATTCTCCATGGACTTTCTGATGTTCCTTCACGAGGAAAACAATACCACAAAGGGGAGCAATGCTTCTTCAGAAACATCCTATCAGCGGCTTACCAGGCATCTGGAAATAACTAAGTTCTGCTGAAGCCAGACTTCCTAAATGGGAATCACACAAGCACAGATTTACAATCTCCTTAGTATTAGCAGCTGCCTTAATTTTAGGCAATTATTAACTGCTGGTTTGAGAACTATCTTCCTGCATTCTAATAAGAAATTGCATTTTCCCAATATGACATATAGATGTGAGATCAGAAAATTTGACAAAGATGAATAAAAATAAAAATGCAATTTACTTTGGAGACAAACAGGTGAACGATATAATTATTTAGGAACAAAATAAATTAAACTCAAAAAAAGAAACAATTATTCATTTACATTCATGGACTCACGAGAATTTGACCCACCTTTCCAGTTCCTAAGGAATTTAATCATTGTTCAGACGTGTAATGTAACAAGGAACTGAAAAAATTTCCAAAAGTGATTTTCATTTAAAAGTACATGTGGTACTTTATTAAAATAGCATAGGGATAGTCAGTAATAACTTTGGTGCAGCATTTAAGACACCACTTGGACTGCCACATCCCTTATTAGCGCACCTGAGTCCAACTCCCAGCTTTGCTTCTAAGTTCATCTTCCTTCCTCCGATTGTTCATCCTAGCAGTTAACAGGTAATGACTCAAGGGTTTGGTTGTCTGCCATCCATGAGGGCCACCTGAATTGACTTCCACGATTCTGGCTTCAACCTGGGCCAGACCTGACTGTTGTGAGTAGCTGGGGAGTGAACAAGCATATTGGAAATCAATCATGCCCTATCTCTACCTTTCAAATAAATAAAATTAACTAAAATTTTCTAAATACTAGAAGTATGTAGTAGGCTCATTAAGTCAAAAGATATTCCTTTAGATTTTGTGTGGTGTGCAATAGCATTCTGCTTGCTTCCTTTGTTGTTGTTGTTTTGTTTTTGTTTTTTATTCTGTTTGCTTCTTTGGAGAGGCTGCAGGAATCCTGTTGCAACCAATGGACCCTGGGCAGTGCAACTGAGTTTTCCTCCTGAGGATGATAGCCTTGGTCAGGAGATGAACACAGATAAATCTAAATGACAAGTAGGTGTGAAGTTAGAAATGTCTTTATTGTTTCTTGGAATAGCCTCTACGTTTGCTTTTTAATTGCCAAATGTACAAACCTCAGGGGCCTCTGAAATTCAGCAGGGACTGTGGTGCTATTTATAACTAGAAAAACAGAAAGGAGGCAATAGACAGATCGTCCTTGTTATACCCATGCTTCTATTTATTAGCCATTCTTTTTCATATATTTTCCTTATACAGATCAGAAACCTCCAATAACCATGGAACTGGCTAAGTAATCAGGTCCTTAGCAAACAACTTTGATGCCCTCTGAGACTATGGTAACACACGATTTCACATAGTCTCAGGGAGTTCCTAGTGCAACTCTGAAAACATTCCTTGTTGAGTAAGAAAAAACTTGCAAATGTCCAAGCTGTGGACCACAGGTGAAGATGTGTATTTGTGTTTCTGGATGACTGTGGAGTCTCGTTTTCCTTGAGGTCTCCAAGCTCTGAAATGACTCCTTCAATGAATGGAAGCAGTGGATGAGTCCTACAGTCATGATTTATTCCTCTAAAGCAGCTTGTCACTTGAACAGTTATCAAAAATAACCCAGAAAAAGTGCTTATGAAAAGTAGACATTCTGGACCATCCCACAGGTGCTGCTGTGGCTTTGATTTAGGGCAGAGCACAGGAGCGTGCACCTTCAATGTGCATCACTGGGAGGTGGGGCCCGGGGACTCACACTGCCTTACTCTGTTAAACACTTCCAAAATTACTGTCTGGATGCAAAATTATTTAACCTCTTGAAATATAATGGTTTTTAGAGATCAACTGAAATTTCTGAGCCTCAAATTTTCTACAAAACCAGGGACTGTCTACCACTGTGTTAGAAATTGTCATGCACTGCACCCACCATGTTATCTAAATTAACTCTTAAATCATTATTATACTTTCCAGATAACTTTTTGTTTATCTCTCCAAACAAGTTTGTGTTCCTGGAAGGCAAGAAATTTCCTTATACGTTAAGAAAATATTTTCTACATTATCTAGCATTCTTGATAAATATTTATTAGGCCCTCCACAAACATATTTTAATTTTGCTTAAAATACAACAGAAGTTGGTTGGCAATCCGCTTTAGCTTCTGAAGCATGAAGCCACCTGTCTTGCAGATATCGCTCCAAACCAAGCAGTTCTAATATTCGCCTGCATGGCAGAGACTGGAGGTCACACCTAATATTCATTAGTAATTGGCAACCGCACCTGGGCTCCTTATTTAGCCACAAGGAAAAGGCAGAATGACAGTAATAGCTTTGACTGATTACTTGGCAAGGGAAACCAAGCCCTTAGGGTGTTCCAGGCACTCTTTGGCCTATAAACCTGTTTAAAAACCTGTTTCTCAGAATTTAAAGCTTAGCTCAATTGAGGTCAGTATTATAGTAATGTCAATAATTCTAGTGCACTCAGCCTTCAGGCAGACCAGTACAATTCATCACTAACTTTATTTTCATGGAAAGGCAACTTTGGGGAAAATGGCTCTAACTTGAGCTATTTTATCTTGATTTTCTTTCCCTTAAGAAATAGTTCTGCCAATATTACTTCCTTTGGATTTTGTGCTTTCTAAAGCTTAACACCTTCCAATGCCTAAAATTATTTCCTTAAAACAGAATGGTTCTGAATACGTAAAATTTGGGGCACCACCACAGCCATGACTCAAAGCTTGCAGAAAAAGACTAAATAAGCTACTGGGCCTGAAAGTCATTTTCAATAATTGGGACTTCATGAGGTTTAAAAATTGCCTCTGCCTTTTTCTCATTTTCAAGGGGACTGATACTGAGCTATCGTACCTTGTGGAATATTCTGGCAGGGCTTAATTCTTTCTCTTAGAAGTCAAAAGATCAATGAGTAACATGTTAAAGTTTATTCCCCCTGTACAGGCAGTTCCACTCTGCATGACTGGGAACACATCCTCAGGGGAGAGTAACCATGTACCCTCCAGGGCAGGCTTGGCACGGGGGTCACGAACTAATGTGTGGATTGGTTGTTTGCTTGCTATGGGCTGTCTCGCTGTAGTTTTTAGAAACTGAAGAAGATAAATCATTCTCAAGATGGATGCTCGTTGAATCAGTTTAAGAGAGGAAAGCTATTTGTTCAAACCCAGGATAACAGTTTTATTTTTCCTGTGGAAAAAAGTACCTGCACACATAGAGGATTTTGTTCTCAGTACATGAATTTTTAAAATGGATGCAACATCAAAATTTAACATTTCTCTGAAGTGATATACCGACATGAAACTAAACTGAATGCAGTAAAAGTAATTAAGTAGGGGTTATTCATCACATGTTACATGATCATCTGACCCCGCTGAGCTCCTTGTGGACAGGACCTACGTCTTGTCTATTTTTCTGTTGTTGGCATCCAGAACTACAACTCCAGAGTAAAGAATGAAACACATGTGTGGAGTTTCGTACTTGAATATCTGCATTTTCCCCCCATCACATGGAAAATAGTTTGACGTTGCAATAATTTAAAGACCAGTAGAGGGCAATAGAGCTGAATTTTTAATGAATTATGTATGGATGTATATACGTATGTATCTAAACAATGCATCATGCACAATTTAAACCTACTTTCAAATCCAGTTCTAGCCAGAAAACTCTTGCTCCACAGTCTCCTAACTGCACTTAAATGTAACTAAAAACCTTTTGTACCACATTAGAACCCCCGTTTCTGTCCTGTCCCCCCCTGCACCTACCAAAGTGTACAAACGATGCACGCTAGAGGACCAGAGCAGTAAGCACTGATTTGAACAGAATCACTCTCTTTGGTGTTTAATTACTTCCCTAATTAAAAGGTCATCTGACAGTAAAATGACTAAAGGTAAAAGCCTCTAAGAAAACCATGGGATAATGTGTGAAGTAGGATAGTAATTTGGACTTCAAGCTTCCTGTGGCAGGAAACTGTACTCACAGATTTCAATTTCACTGACTAGAAACAGCTCCATTCTGTGCCTATGTTTATGCATACGAATAAGATTAGATGAGAATGTAAATGAGTTATTAGTTGGTAATGGAATAGTAAGGCCTTTTTTTAAAAAAATCTTATCACTGCTCCTTTCTATTTGTCACTTTAAAAGGAGAATAATGAATAGATATTTCTTCTTGGGAAAAAAAAAACCACCTATTACATAACAATGCCCACCAGTGTCTTAGGGATGAGGAAGAAAAATAAACTAATGCTAGCAGTACTTGACTAGTCTTCATCAATCTGTGCTTCGATCGCACAGTAAATCTGGAGACAGAGAAAGTCATTCAGGGGTCACAGGACATTCCACCAAACGTAAGTGCTCCTACGCTCCACGCTTCATATTGGGTCACCTGTTTTCAAGCACACCTGTCCTAAAACTGTCGGAGCAGACAAATCACAATATCTTGGGGGAGGGCTTTTTCCACTTTTCAGGGTTTTTTATTGCATATTTCTATTCCATGCTATATTAATCAACCCTCACACAAAAAAGCAAGAATTGTTCCCCAGGGCTTCTGGCACGTCAGCTTTTCATCAAGGTAATGCAAAGCAGAGTGCGCCGTGAGTGTCACCCAAAGTGAGTATTTATGTGAGCCCTTTCATCTGCGTCCATTTAAGATGTTCCCTGTGAGGCAACGGCGATGAGCTGGGATTCATCATTCGCAAAGGTCTTACTTTAAAGACTGGATGCACTCGCTCAAGTGCTGCTTCAGCTCCTCCTCCTTCTCGTAGGATTCCAGTACACTATGCGCTTCATCATGGTGGTAGCAGTAGATTTTATAAATATCTTCCAGTGGTCCTTTCATCTGCAAGAATACTTCTCCTGAGAAAGGCAAGACAAAAGTAAAATGACTAAGTCAGATCAAACTGGAAGCCCACGTTATTCGGCAAGGCTGGCCAGTGTAAAGAGTTGGATGGAACCCCTGCTGCACCCAGCTCTCAGGAGAGACAAAGTCACTGAATGTGTTCTTTTTCCTTTCCTCTCCTCTTCCTTTGTTCTTTTTCCTATCCCTCCCTCCCTTCCTTCCTCTTCCATTTTTTAAGAGCAAAGAATGAAGAACTTAACACAGATAGGCAGCAAAAGAGAGCTGGGATTTTCTCAAAGATGACCTTGCAAACTAGAATAGGTTTGTGGGATTGTGCTTAAGAGCTTGTGGTTAGGAGCTGACCAGTTTGGGAAGAACCCAAGAGGGTTGTGATCAGGCTATACAGGTGGCTGGCTTTGAGATGTCTGCAAGTTGTTCTAACTCCTTGAACCTGGTTCCTAATTTATAAAATTATGGCAATAATGGATTTATTTTCTTAGATTCACTATAAAAATTAAAGATGGTGGTGTACGTAAAGTTCAGTGTTCATTATGCAGATAGTAAATGCTCAGTGTCGGTTAATTAACTACAGGTATGGCATTTTAGGTGGTAGATAAGTTATTTTTCAACATTTATTTCATAAACATTGCCTAAGGTTTCTGGAAAGCAAGCAGTGAAGTTTAGCAAAATATTTCTGTAGGAGGGATAGTAAAAAGGTCATTATTTTGTAAAATATTAATTAGGTAGTCTTATGAAAAAGACTTTAGGAAGACTGTTTTCCTGGAGCAGCATGGGCTAATTGTACCCAGTCATTAATGAAAACTTGCCCTTATTATAATAAAATTGGGTCTGTATGTGGTTGCTCATGTAGCCATTGGATAAGTCTGATTTTTATCATCCATTGCATCGTTTAAAATGAATGCCAAGGGCAGCACTGTGGTGTAGTCTGGCTTCTACACCACTGGCATCTCATATGCTATAGTGGCTGTTCCACTTCCAATCCAGCTCCATGATAATGACCAGCCACGGCCATTGCAGCCATCTGGGGAGTCAATCAGCAAATGCAAGACATCTCTTCCTTTCTTTCTCAGTCTCCCTTTCTCATTCTTTCTCCCTCTATCTTTCTGTAACCATGATTTTTGAAATAAAGCTCTACCCAGTCCAGTTCCATATGAGATGATTTGAGACTTGCAGAAGGAGAATGTGATTGAATGTGCTCATAAAACCCTTGCAAGTCTGAGCTTCACAATGATTTAAAGACTGAATTGATTGGGATAGTTCCGTTGATCCACAGTGCTATGGACCTACTATAGTAACACGATAATTCATTCTTCTTACAGAAATAGTATTCTTACTGTTATCAACATGGTTTGCTTGTATTAATTGTTTAACTCACTATGTATATGAAGAGATAAGAAGTCATTCAATCATATTATTTGAGAAGGAACAAATCCGGTTTTGAAAGAAAGAAATGTCTTTCTCATAGTCCTATGCCAAAGCCAGCACTGAAGGTCATATTTTTTTACCATTTTTCCCCCATGGGTTTTAACTCCCCACTCAACAGAGGGCTTTACCAGTTGATACAGTTCAAAAGAATCAGCAACCAGTTAGAGTGTGTGTGGTGACTTTGAAATTACTTTGCAAAAGAAAATTGTGTCTTGGAACCTTCATTCCTTTGTAAAACAGAAACAAGATAACCATTGAGACTGACTCGAGAACTAAGTTAGATGATGGCTATAAAATAGCCAGCACTAAGTTGCTCAGTAAAATCAGTCATCTCTTAAGCCTTCTTTACTGTCTCTAGAACCAAAAGACTAATCCTGTTGAAAGCACTAAGTCCTTTTCTAATTTATATCTGATCAATAAACGTTATCTCTCTTCTCTATAGAGGATTGTCCTGTGATTACAGTCAGATTCCAAGACAATGTGAAGTAGTGTGTGAATGGGAGTGTACGTGCATGTTTTAAGGTTTTGCTTGTTTTAGGATCTCACAAGGAAACAACAAACATCTTTGGATGCTTCTGGGATTTTACGGAGTTGATCCTTATGGATATTACAGATTTTCTTTTCAAGACAACAGTACAAACAATAAGAAATAGAGCAGTTAGGAAAGGAAACAGGCCAGCAACTAAGTTTAGAATTGGGAATTAGCCCGAGAGTGGGCTTCTGCTAGGGGGCAGGGAAATCAAGGACCGGAAGTGGGTGTGAGTGACAGGCTGGGTAGAAGGCTCAGCAGCAAGTCGAGCACACGGATCTGAATGCACACTGCCTCATGCAAGGAGCTATAAATGTGCATAAAGCACGAAGATGCCACAAACAGAGAAAAAAAACAGTAGACACTCCAAGAATGCACAACATGATCAAATCACAAAGTCAAAAAACAAAAAGAACAAAGCCACTACATACAGTGAAACCATTAATCGCAAATTCTCTTCTATTTTCGTAACAGATGTTGTTCAGTTTGAGAGAATTTATGGCTCTGTGCTTAACGACATAATGAATTTTTCTCCTTCTTTTCCACGTGAAAGTCAGTTGGGATTTGAATAGTAATTATTAAAGTTAAAAGATATTTAAGTGCTCTAATTGAAAGTCATTTATTCAGCCCAAGGCCAAATACAATGCTGGAGGAAAGAATATTTGATTCCCTTTCCAGTTCTCCCCATGTATTCTGGTTCATAATAGTGCAGACGAAGCGAGGTGTCTCTCAGCAAAAGTGATTCTGTTTCCACGGTAACACGTCTCCGCTGCATTTCTTTCCTATGGAAGGACAACTGCTCTACCCAGTGTCCGTGGGTTTAAAGGGACGGTTAGGAGCAATAAGAAACTGAACAGTGAAGGTAATTTCACTTCTGACTGTGTAACACAAAGGCACTGGATTTCTATTAAATAAATAAAAGCACCATGTCCTTCTTTCTAAAAATTCTATATGAATGTTTGTATTGGCTTGCCCCAAAAGCTATTTCGGTGCAAAGGAGAAAGGAAACACACACCCTTTTACATTTCATTAGTTGCTATATTTAATAACAGCTACCCCTGCACTCAGGCAAATGAAACATATTCAATATCCTGATACTATTAATTCTATATTACATAGTCCTCTACTTACTGATAAGAAAGTTAATCATTGTCTTTCCAGACCCTCATGTCCATTCCACTGAGTTGCCATATCAAACCACATGGTTTCTGTGTCATTCTGAATCTGCTTCCAAGTGAATTTCCCTTGCAGGTGAGGTAACCATGGAAAAGTCAATTATATTCAGGGCTTTGTTTAGGAAACTAGCATATAAAGCAATTACATTTTTTAGTTGAGCTATCTTCGACAATTTTGGGGGTGAGCACTATGGACCAAGTAACTTGGTGAGTGTCAAAGAACCCACACTTCCCTCAAAGCACTTGTCTAGGCCAACAAAGGAGAAAGAAGTGTAAACTCTAGTTTGCTCTACAATGTGAAAAGTACAATCATAAAGCTGTTTAAAGCACTGGTGGGTATGTATCCCATACTTGGATATGGTTGAGCTATTACATAATAGCCTTACCTTGAAGTAGCAAAAGCAAGAAAAGAGGGGCAGACACTGGGTGCATGGCTTAAGACTCCATTTGGGATGCCCGTACTGTGTGTCAGAGTGCCTGAACTCAAATCTTGGCTGCACTCCTGAGTCTGCCTTCGTGGTGATGTGCACCCTGGGCGTCAAGTAGTTAGGTTACTCTCACCCCATGTGGGAGACTTGGGTGGGGTTCCTGGATTCTGGCTTCAGTCTGGCCCAATGCCTGGGTTCAAATTCTAGTTCTGCCATTTAACTGATGCATGTCACTTGGAAGAGTTCATTGACTTCTGTTTTAGGATTTCTTCAATCAGTAGAATGGGAATAATGCTAATAGTAGAGTTGTTTGAAAATTAAATGAGTTAAAATAATATAATGTGCCTACAGCAATGTAGTAGCTGGCATGTACAAATGTTCAGTAGATGCTCTAACTATGAAAGCACTATCAGGGAGGATGGCAAAGAGGAGAAGATGGTTCTTGAACATATGTGAGAGATGAAAGGGAAAACTCAGCTTACAAGCCAGGATTCCAAGTGAAGTGATCCTGCAGGTAAACAATGATGACAGAAGGAGAGAGTTTATGTGGGAAAGATGATGAGTTTAATGTGATGTACTGAGTTTGAGTTGCCTACTGTATATTTCAGTGGACAACCCTCCCGTAGAACTGGATATTTGAGTCTGGCATTGAGGAAAGCTGTGTCTGGGAGAAATATACACATATCTAAAAACCAAGCAAGCAGAAGCCACGAATTTGATGTGGTCTTCCTATAAGGGAGGAGGTCTTGCAGCTCAAATGCTGGTGAATGCAAACCGTGAGGGGGAGTTCAGAAGGACACATCTGCAAAGAAGCTCAAGGTGGCAGAGCCAGTGGGAAGAGAGAAAAGTAGAGCAGTGTTGAGAAAATCAAGCACAATGTGAGAAATACTGCAGAGGTTGAATAAGTTTATGGGTGACAGAGCATACTAATTGTCCCCTAGGAGCAGCATTTGTTCTTCTGAAGTAACAGAATTTTTTACCTACCTTAAACAAAGCTATAGTGCGTAGCCTCCTTTTTAATTAGTGTGGTCATGTAATTAAAACCCAGAAATGAGGTATAAATGAAAGTGTCCAGATCTTGCTTTTATTTGAGAGGCAAAGAGTGGGATGCTGAAGGGCAGGAAAGAAAAAGCTCTCGTCTCCTGGTTCACTCCTCAAATGCCTGCAATGTCCAGAGCTGGGGTAGGATAAAACACATGACCTAGACTTGAAATCCAGGTCTCCAACTTGTGTGACAAGGACCCAATCACTTGAGCCATCTCCACTCCCTTCCAGGGTATATATTATCAGGAAACTGTGGTCAAGAGCCAGAATCAAACCCAGGTACTCCAGCATGGGATCTGAACATTTTCATTGGTTTCTTAACTGCTAAGCTAAATTCTCACCCTTGATACTCTTTCGGCTAACAATGATCAACAACACACAACAGTATCAAACAC